TGGTACATTGGGTTCTTCGTCTGCGCTTGGGGCCTGGTATCGGCAGTGACAAGTCAAGTCACAACCTATGGAGGCATTGTGGCCTGTCGATTCATCCTCGGTTTAGTCGAAGCACCCTTCTTCTGCGCCATTCTCTTCTATCTGTCGAAATGGTACACAAAGCAAGAATTGGCTTTCCGAATGAGTATTTTCTATTCTGGCTCCCTGTTGAGTGGTGCTTTCGGAAACCTCATCGCGGCTGGTATTCTCAACGGTCTGAAAGGCCACCGAGGACTTTCGGCATGGCAATGGCTTTACATTATTGAAGGTTCCATCACCTGTGCCATCGGACTGGTCATTTGCTTTGTTCTACCCGACTTCCCAGAGACATGGAAAATGTTGTCTCCGGAGATGCGCAAAGTCGCCCAGCGACGTCTGGCCATTGAGGCTGGGCAGGCCGATGTGGATGAAGGGGGTGGCAAAAGCCAGTTAGAAGGGTTCAAGCTCGCCATGACCGACGTCAAAACCTATGTATTTGCCTTGGCATACATGTGCATCACCGGAGCAGCGGGTTTCCAGAACTTCTTCCCGACACTGGTAAAGACTCTCAACTTGTCCGAAACCATCACACTGGTGCTGGTGGCACCTCCATATCTGTTCATGGTTGTATATTCCCTTTGCCACTCCATGGCTTCTGATAGATTGGAGAAGAGATTCTGGTTCTTCGTGTACCCGATTCCGATCACCATTGTTGGATTTGTGATCTTCATGAAAACCGACTCTTTTGGAGCACGATACTTCTCGTTCTTCTTAATGGTATTCGTCTTCGCTCAGAATGGAACTCTGTATTCCTGGCTCGCGAGCTCGATTCCTCGTCCACCTGCCAAGCGTGCCGTCGGTAAGTCATATTCCCTTGTGTTCCTCCCACTGGCCACCAAGCTAATCAAAATAGCCTTTGCGTTTTTCAACTCCATTGGAAACAGCGCGTCGATCTGGACCCCCTATACGTATTTCGAAACAGAGAAACCTCATTACCCCACAGCTATGGGTGTTTGCATTGCACTCCAACTAGTTGGTGGTCTTTCGGCCCTCTTTTTATACTTTAACTTGCGCATGCTCAACAAACGCCAGGAGCGTATGGAGAATGAGGAATTGCAGCTTTCCGAAAAGGATATTCGTCGGCTGCAGGCTACGGCTGATATTGAAGGGATTGATATTGCAGCTGCTAGACGGCTGCAGAAGGGATTCCGTTATGTATTGTAGAAGATATGTAGCAAATTTCATATGTCTGATTTGACATGTCAATTTCTTGATTCGAGGTTTTTTGCCTTGTAAATATTCGGGAATACGGTAGTACCAACTATGGGACAAAAGCTCATTATGACCAGATATAGCAAGCTCGATCCGGACATGGTAAGGGAATGGAGTCTTAGTGGTACGACTGTCCTATCATACCTATTATACCTACGCATATGTACATATGGATGTACATAGACTGATGATATTGTGGATTACCGCATCAACCCATATGGTGTGTCACCTGACTTGCCTCTGAAGTCATTGACATTTAAATAGCTTGAACTGCATCAATTCCCCTATTAATCTCTCTAAAATTATTCCATTATTCCCAATTCCAACATTTGAACCTGACTCCAAGTACATCGTCGTACACGGTGTGATCGATAGACAGCTCAAGATCAACATCCTTATTCATAGGACGACCATAACTGATCCACCACCCCCACACCATGCAATCAGCAACTTCACGACCAATTCTCCGTATCACTACCAATCCAACTCTTTTGAGATCCCTTTCTACCACCCCAAGAATCATGGGTGCAGGTGATATAGGTTCGACAAAGTCGGGCTTCATGGCCGAGTAGGGTAGCACACTCCAAAATGGATGACGTCATATCTGACCATCGGCAGGAAGGACTCTTTCGCCAAACGCGAGGCGGCACACGAAGGCATGTACATTCGACAAATAGAAATGGAGAAGTGAGTTTAACTACATTGATTAAATTTCAAGATATCAACTTACCCGGTGCTAGGCTTGAGCGTCTCAAACAAAAGCTCCAGGAGCAGCGCAAGCATATGAATGAACTCGACAAGCACCTGTAGGGATCCTGGATTTCCCCCCACGAGGCCAGTACTGACAGATTACAGCGATGAGTATACCAAGTCCCAGGGCGGGGAACAGAATTAGCTGTGCGACTTTGTTGCAAGCATCTCCTAAATGGCATTGAATCTGTTGATGGTCATACGATCGAGTTCAACCCCGAGGTATCGACATACGCATTACAATCAACTCGACTTTCAACTAACAAACATGTCGTGATAATGTTTCCAATCTATGTACGCGATAATTTTTCGTCATAGCAGTATTATGAATTGGAATCCAACATCGACTTTTAACCAAATGATTCCTCTCTCGTCTCATCATCAACTCTAAATCTTTGCCTGCCACCTCCACCGGTAGCTCAAACAGGCCCATCTAGCCATCACGAACAAACCAAGTGACACTATCAAAACACTTCCCAAATATGCCACCATGGCTCTCTTCCCGACTTTGTCAAGCATCTCACCGCCAATGGGGATACAGATTAGTGTGCTAAAGTTCCCATTAGTGATAAACTCCCAAACTAGATTTTCACGACTTACGCGAAGCTGACAATGGAATATGTCAGGCCAAATCTTCCACCAACCTCGCTCGCCCGAGAGATCTGCCCGATGCAGGCTGGTGCAAGACTCAGGAATGATCCTGAAGCCAATCCGAAGATGACCGAAAACAAATAAAGCCCCGCCAGGGAGTTACCAAACGGCAGCCAAATCACAAAAACTGCGAATGCACCCAGAGCAATGAGTCCAGTTTGGGTGTTGATTCGGCCAAACCGATCAGCCACGCCTCCGGCCACCAGTCGCCCTATCGTGGAGGCTCTGCGTCGGAATAGTCAGCGCTTGGCCTGAGAGATCATCAAAATACCACTTACACGTTCTGAACAGCAAGAAGAACAACGCTGGTATTGGTAGAAAAACCTTGCATGATCACATAGGTTGGATACAGACCTAGACCGGCAAAAACCTCGAGCTCCAAGGCTGTCCCAAGTCAGCTTTTCTTTTCTTTGACCATCTGGATTCTCGACCGAAAGCAGCTCACCAAAGATGCCAAATGTCAGCCAGGTGAACCTCGCATCTTGGAAGGAACGTAAGTTGATAGTTGATTTGCTTCTGCCCTTCGGAAGACGTGCCTTCACCAGAACTGTTCCAAGCACACCCAATATCAACACCAGCAATGCCATCAATCGAATTGTCCATTTATATCCAAGGTTGGTGAATCCAGCTCTGAGCACAAACGGAAATATCACTCCGCCCAGTCCCGCGCCCGACATTGAAATGCCAATTGCAAGGGCTGTCTTTCGATCAAACCATTGAGGCACACTGGCCAACGCAACCGTGCTCAAGAGCGCGGCACCAGTGCCAGAAAGAACACCAAGGGTAAGAACAAAGTGCCAGTAAAGATGGCTTTCAGCGAGAAGAATAAAGCCAGTTACATAGCATATAGTACCCGCTATAAGTAGACCCCTGGGACCATATCGATCAAACATCGGCCCGACCTGGACAGAGATACTCAGACCAAAGAAGGTGAACAGTCCCGGAATCCAGCCAACTGCACTAGGCGAATAATTGGCCAGCTGGTGAGTAGCGAAGTAATTCTGCAGAATTCCTGTCGTGTTCATCACGCCGAATGTACCCATCAAGAGACAGAATGAACCCGCCACAACACACCATGCTTGCAAGCCTCCATCTGGGAATGTGTCATCAGTACTATGACCGGTCAGATGGGTGGTGAACGTGGATAGCTCGGCTGGTGGTTCGACAACGGAAAAAGCCGACCGGGGAGCTTCTTCGTCGAAATTTGAGTTATGACCAGTGGGATAACTAGTGGAGTATTCAGCCACACTGGTGGAGGTTGATTGCCATGGCTCTTGCTCTGGTTCTTGCACAGATGCGGTGGCCGACTTTTGCATAATGGGTCGTGAGTCTCGAGAGATGATAAGAGTCGAGACTGCGATGAGACTTGGAATCTGCAGTGCAAGCGAAGATGACAGGCAATCTCTTTCAATTTTACAAAACCTCTAGAATCTCCAGAATCTCCAGAATTCCAATGTGGAGGTGACTCATTACGATAAGGGCTTGCATTAGTCTCCCATGAGTTTTCATGGTGGGGTAGAACCAAAGGATTTAACTTGTATACATCGGTATCACCTTCCGACGTTTTAACATTAGGGGATGTTGTGGTCGCTAATCGCAGGACATTATATTTCAATTTAATTGCAAAAGGCCTAGAGCATCTCACACTTACAATCACTTCAGTTCCTCCAATTCGTATTGTCTTTCCTTAATTCCAGGAGTGATATTTCTGCTTTATACCATTCCCACCATCGGCATCCTTCCCGAGGTCACATGGACGGCATATACGGAGTAGGTCAATTTGTATCACGAATCATATTTAGAAAAGCGAGTCACTTGGGGATTACGTTCATATAGGTTGATATAGGTTGAGATATTCCAACGTTCTCCCTTGTTGCTGTAGTCCATATATACAACATAGATACACAATTGGTACTAGCGGAGTCACTACCCGATATGTATATGTATATATAATATTGGTATATATCCTTCTCCACCGGGAACTTATATCATAACTTATTTTTCTTCTATAATAAACCTATATAGCAATTCGACCTTAATGAAAACCAAGGTCAAAATATCTTACAGAGTGAGGTGCAGATTAGTGGCATGACAACCTCGCCACCCAACCCCCCAATATCCCGTGCCGCTAAACATCCCGATTTCCTCCCTACAAAGTGGCATGATTAACAAGTAAACCCGGTGACGTTGTGATGATTTTATTTGTGAATCATAGTTCTTCAGTAGCTAGCATATATCTATCCTAATTTCTCTCCACAAAAACATTCCCCATCATTCAAGATCTACATCAATTGAGATCTCCATCCAAAATGTCAGCGGCACAATGTACCAGACTATTCACCAGAAATATCCCTCAAGTGAGGCGACAACGCCAACTACAAAGTCCTCGTGTCACGCTCGTTGGCACTCCAACCCCAAGTCACAATCCTACCATTGACTCCGAAGTTCTACCATATCGACTCTACGAACTCTCACTAAAGAAGATCCGAAAAGAGGCACACGCAGCCGAACCCGATCTACGCCATGTCATTGCCGGTATCACAATGCAAAAAGTGGTTTCCAGTGTGGTGCACGATGATCTTCTACACAGAGTCGACATGATCGAAACCGCAAAATTACCTAGAAGATTACCGATCCTACCGGGCGCCGATGAGCCGTGGGAGCATGAAGAAATCACCGCAAATAAAACATCGAATCCGAATGCGTGGGATATGGAATCTCTTGATCAAGCGCTTTGTGAGATGGAACGCGCTAGTAAGAAAGGGAATGTTGCAAAAAGTGTTTGTTTTCAGTTAATCAGTGATATGTGAAAGTTGAAGATCAAATTTATTCCATCAACGATTGGTTGTTTGGACGTTCAACCGTTATGTAGACGTTACTTAAACGTTACTTAGACCCTACTTGGACACTACTTCGACGCTATATCTCAATATAAGACTGTGCCTGAATGTTGGGTTCGCTATAGTGCCGCCAAACCCTTGTTGACACGATATTACCATTTTCCTTGTCTATGCTTCTTGACTTACGTGCGATACTTAGCAGACAAATTCCGCCTATATCTATCGACCACTCCAATTACATGACCAGTTCCTCTTTGCTAAAGCCTCCCTCTTTCCTTGAACCACCTCTGTTTGCTCTCAATCCGGCCTCAAAAACTTACTTATCTGTGACTCGACACCACCTTCTTTCCCCCTACAAGCCTATGAAGCCTATGATTTCCTTATTCTGAGACATTACCGCAGCCTCCAGCCATGACCGAAGAAACAAGGTGGTGTCGCATCTGTAGGAAAGAGAAGCCGAACGATGCGTTTCGGGCACCTGAAGGTGCAGGGAAGGACTTTTACAAAATGTGTGAGCCTTGCCGCACAAAGTACCGAGATGTGCGTATATCACATGCCCAGATGGGGAAAAGAATACGATCACGTATCAGGTCTAGTCTAAAAAGATACAGAGATCGCGAGTTAAAAGGGCGCGCGCAAACAGGGGACGAGCTTGGCCTTATTATCTTTCCGAGCCAGCACCCCAAACTAGCTTCGACCTCCCCAACTCAGAGACGAGAGTTACCTCTGAAACCACCAGTGCCGCACAAACTACCCCCATGCCTGAACAGCCGAACTGTATGCACGCAAATTCCGGCCCACGCAGTCGAGTCACAATTGCACCGCCCGTTGTCGAAAGTTCTGCGCAAAGCACAACAACTACCACTGTCATCACCATCACAACCACCACCGTCTCTAAGAACGTGATGGAAACCCCAAATAAAACAGCGGAAGATGCGAAGACTGCACCAGATGGCATCCAACAGGCCAAAGATGAAGACCTAGAGTCACTTTCAAGTGGACCCGAATCCGAGCAGCGAAGCGAAATCGGCGCAGGTATGAATCAGCACCCTGAATTCTTTGGCTGTCTGCATTGTGAGAAATTGCGCCCATGGCCCATGGCAGGACTTCACATCTGTTTGTGGTGCATTCGGGACTGGAAGTGGTGTGCGAAGGGGGCTCATAATCAAGCCAAGGCGAGCTTCATCTGGGGTGGTGAGGAGCATAATGAATGCTATATGTGTCAATTTGCAGGCATGTAATACTTCTTGCCTAGCATGGAGACTGCAGGATTTGTATCTCCACGGGGAGCACCTATATCTATAGTATATGGTAGCTTTCATTCCTGATTTTCTTTTTCTCCATGTAGTATCTAGGTATGAATTTATACCCGATTTGGATAGATTGAGAGCGTGACTAAAGAGTGAATCTTAAAATACTGGATAAAGACCAATTGATAGGAGTATCAAGTCCATCTCTCTCGGGATGTCTTTTTTGACGTCTTTCGGAGTATTCGGTGAGTATACCAAGAATAGCTACTCGATAGTCAGCCTGCAGAGAGGCCAAAGAAACGCCCATTTAGAGAGTCTTTTAATGTACGGAGTAGCTGTAGACATATTCAACAATGAGATGCATCTTTTCAGATGTCAGTGAAAGAGGATGGAAATGTAGAAGGTCCGAGGGAGTTGGGAGATACGAAATGGAGAGACCCATACACGTGACACCCATCCAATCCAAGCGGTCAAGGTTGTGAATTTCTTCCCTACTCCCTCCTTACTTTGCCATCCACTGGGAATTTTTATACTCTGTACTCCGTACTACATACAATTTGTACGCCATCCAATTCATAATATTGAGCAGTTTATCCATTTCGACTTGGCCTCACCCCCTAATTGTTCAATCCATGGCAGTGTCGTGTCCTGCAGAGCAATATCAATGCATCCAATCAAAACCACTTAATCCAGGTCCAGTCAGAATGGCGGAGTCACTCCACCTACTCACATCCACGAACCTATCAAACCATCGCGAGGCGTCGACTAATATCAAACTAACCAGTGCCAAGGCCATACGAGAGCAAGGCGGCCCACCCCTAAAGCAGGCAGATCTCGGACTCCCACATCGGAAATCTGGCTCGCCTAAATCCTGCCGTGTCGTTGGCTCAGGATGAAGCACCCTTCCCTTCTCCCCCCTTTGAGCTACCTTTGCGGCCATGGTCGGTGGTACGCAACAATTTGTCCCCGACTCACGAGTCAGGAAGACCCCGAACCGTCAGTCGCGGTCCTGTAAAGTCTGCCGGCTCCGGAAAGTCAAGGTCCGTTATCCCCGTCATCGTGCTCAGATCGCCCTCGAGGGTCGGAACGCTCCCGTGCCCATCTGATGCGTCCCACTGGTCGTAACGCATAACCCGTAAGGCTAACGTGGATCCCGCTGTCAGTGTGACCGAGTCAAGCCCTGCCACGCCTGCTGTGCTCATGGCTACCCCTCCAGATGCGTGTATGAGCATGTCCCGGACGAAGAAGCCCGCCCGATCAGTCAGGCGGAGGAGATTCGGAACCTACGGGCGGAGATCCGAGACCTTCGGGGAAGAATAGACGATAAACAGGATGGTACGTTTGCAAGCCCCGCCCACTCTTTTCTGTAACGTGTGCCAAACTCTTGTGAATGTGGAACAATTGCTGATGTCTGTGCAGGACCTGGGGCCCAGGATCTCCAGCGCCTAGACCGGCTCGAGAGCTTATTTGAGTCCATTCACTCTGCACCAAGCCCTTTAGTCGATGACCTTGTTCGCGATATTCGGACCGCACATGTCGGCATCAAGAAGGATTTGGTCCCTGTTGGACCATGGGAAGGCATGGAAGGTATGTGGTATAACCGTTGGATAAAGAGTTACTCTTTCTGACAGCTTCAGCGTATGAATCCTATGATTATCCTTCGCCCACTTCGTCCACTCTGCCGGTCCGGAATCGCCTGTTAATCAATTCCCCGGTTGAAGACTTCAATAATATACAAGGTGATGATGACGATGACAATGACTTCGAGCGCATGTCGCTGAGCAGTGGGTCCGACTCGTCTGGCACGATCTCGGTTATGAGTATGCAAAGACCCGCGGTAGATGTGTTTGTGGAGAGATTTGTGGATGCATTTAGCCCCGAAGTGGATATGAAATCTGGAAAAGCAGGTGCATTGCGAGCTGCTGCCGGCATTCGAATGTTCTCACCGCTCATCACAGACGCGTTCGAGGCTGTCTCGGTGGCATTCTTTGGTCGTTCTGTGCAGAACAAGCAGATCGAGGCATCCGGTTTCCGACTTTATCCCCGCGTGCTGCGTGCATTGCAGGACGCGTTGGTTGACCCTGAAAAAAGCAAAGCAGAGTCCACCCTGGTGACTGTGACTCTCTTGCTAGCTTTCGAGGTTTGTTCCACAAAACGCATTTTCTTCCCGGTCAATACTAACTCCAGCAGAGCGTTGAACGGACTACCCAGAGTGGTGTCTCGGCCCACGTCCGAGGAGCAGTGCGATTGATCGAACATCGTGGGCCAGAAAACCACATGTATGGGGTCGAACATCTTTTATTTACAGAACTCCGTCCATATTGGGTAAGATAACAGGCCTTCCATGATTTTCCTCGTAATCTAACGGCTTAGATTGGCGCCGCTCTGGCGGCTCGACAACCTTCATTCCTGGCCCGTGAAGACTGGAAGACCATTCCATGGTCAGCAGGAACGACTCAAAAAGACATTCTACACCATCTGCTTGACCTAGCGACTTCGGTACCAGGTTTACTGGCGGCATCCGATGCCTATAAAGAAGCACAAATTACATCTGTCATGGGCACACAAGAGATGGCTATCAAACAGTCTACGCTTTGGAACGGCATACGCGAGCTCACAGCCAGTTTCTATAAATGGTACGAAGACTGGGTGGTCGCATACCCTGATGGGCCACCACAAGAAGCCGAACAACACGGCGACCAGGGGTTCCCAATTTTCCAACGCCGCGATCTCCGCACCGGGGCTACTTTTACCCCAACAAGATTCACCTATCCAAACCTGCTGCTCGCACAAACTATGTGTGTCTACTACGCCGTGCGGTTGGTTCTGTCCTCGATCGACACTCGGCCAGATGATCGCGTCTCGCCCATGGAACAATACGACTTGGGTTGCGGGATCTGCCGCTCGTTGGAGTTTTATATTCTCACTGCGCCGGGCAACATGATCAATCGTCTCGCATTCCCCACTCGAGTAGCGTGGGAAGCATTCCCAGGCGGAGGCCCAGAGCGCCGCTTTATGGTTGAAGTGTTTCAACTGGTTGAGAAGCGGCATGCTCTTGGACTTTGGGGCAGCTCCATGCCGGAGTTATCTACAAAAGAATCCTCACCATTGAACACGGGTAGTTCGTAGTATGGACGGAAGTATTCCATAAAGCATTCCATATGGATGTGATGTTCCTGGGCTATGATTAATTATTTTATCTTAAAGTTCTGTGATCCAGACTATTCGGACTCAATAAATGTTGCGCTGCTGCGCAGCGGTCGGTTAAATGAATCCCAATGCCCACAGGGGCATACATTGACATTGTTTATGAATTTCTAATAACTAATGGCATTGTTGTGCAGCTCCTCGTGGTATAGGGGCTGTGCTCCGCGGCTTTCCGGCTATATTACCCAAAGTAATCAAATGTTCCGGAATCCAAACCACAACAATCTGATGAATGCGAGCTGAAATGATGAGTCCCAAATTAATTTATTATTCCAACTCTAATTGGATGTTCCCGATGACACTAGATCGCATTCGATTTAGTTCCGGCAGAGATCGACACTACCAACCACTCACAGGCCGATCTGATCGATCAACAATCGATAGTTTAATGGAGATGAAAAAAAAGGAGATGTGGGTACCTGCAGAATCCTTCATAAACAGCATGGGGCCCCATGTTACGAATAACACATCTATCACACAAAATGCCTTCATTCATCAAGTTGGCGCTCTCTGCCCTCGCGGCCACCACAGCCGTCGCAACAGGAATCAACGATTTCTCCTGCGAGAGCTCCTACAACCCCGTTGTCCTCCTCCACGGCCTTGGCGCGACTTTTTATGAGGACTTGAACTACATGCAGTACTGGCTGCAAGCTCAAGGCTTCTGCACATATGCTAGGACTTACGGTGCATACGATGGTTTCCCATTGCTTGGCGGCCTGAAAGCAATCAACGAGAGTGCCCCCGAGATTGCCGCCTACATCAAAGAAATCGTGGAAAAGACCGGCAAGAGCAAAGTTGACATCGTCGGCCACTCCGAGGGTGCTTTCCAATCTCTCTACGTGCCCAAGTTTGAAGGCGTCTCCCACCTGGTCGACAAGATCGCAGCTATCGCCCCGCCTACCCATGCCACTACATTCGCCGGCATCTACGATCTCGCATACAAGTTCGGCAATGGGTCGCGCGCAGCCGTTGGTGAAGTGCTCGATACCCTCGGTTGCCCTGCTTGCAACGATCTCGGCCCCGATGGCCCAGCCGTCAAGCGCTTGAATGATGGTACCCCTATTGCGCAGCCCGGCAACAGTATCACTATCATTGCGTCCAAGTATGATGAGCTGGTTACTCCCCCGACAACATCGTTCGTTCACGAGGAAGGCGTGACAAATCGCTGGATTCAGGATACCTGCCCGTTGGATCCCGTCGGCCACATTGGTGAGGCCTATGATTTGAACGTCTGGCACTTGGTCAGGAACGTGTTGACCTCGACCCCTGATAAGAAGTTCTTGTGTTTGCTTGGGTCACCAGGTAAATAAAGAGCTTCAGGTTACCTGAGCGATTACTTTTACTGTATATAATAACTAATCTTTGAATGGATGATATCTTATCCTGTCATTCGCCGTATTTACTTTGGCTTTCTCGAAGCTTCTATATCCCATATACTATATACTCCGTCCAGACTGTATGGATTGAATTGCATTACAGTGTCTTCAGGGGCTCGGCATTTCTTTATGGAGCAGATTGTGAATACTCCTCCTATGGCTCATCCAAGCATTAAATTATTAACCCCTAATAAATCTGGTCCACGAAATACCTACAATGCAAAAATTCAGTCGCGTACCCATGTAGGCCTCCTTTGGTAATACTTTTCCGAGTCAAGTAGAAAGGAGAAAGAGGAATATTGACGATCTAAGCCTAGGCTCATTCTTCATCCTAACTAAACCTTTGATATAAATACTCAAGATCATCCTGGTTGATGAATCTCGACACTCTATTCGCTTTAGCTGCACTGTTAATTTGCCTAGGTGAAGTACATAATATATTTCTTGACTATGTACCCCTTAAATTTTGGGGATACCCTGACTTTAATGTTTGAATGATAGATCGCGTATCTTATGTTTGCCTGTATTAACTAGATTGGGAAGCACTTACCTGAGAGATGAGATACTGAGAGCAAGTAGCCATTTGCAACCACTCATCTTAACCACCACTCTCCAAGAACTCTCGAGAATCCATCACCACGGTCCGCGAGAAACCTCTGAAACTGCCAATCATCACTCTGAAATAGTTCATCTTTGAAACCGGTTCCTGCCTTAGGCACAAAGACTTTCTTCACGGAATCGGAGCTTTCTTTCTCCGCTCACATTATCTTATCTGCGACGCGCGCAAGAACTAAAAAAAATCACCATGTCAGAGCCAGACAACAAACCTGGCTCTGAATCCAACATTCATCGAATTCAAGAGCGATGGGACAGTCTGAATGAGATGTTCCAAAACACCGACCCCGAGCCTACAGAGCCTGTCGGCTCTGCCGATGATCTAGAGGCGGAAATTCGTCAAGCACAAGCTCAATTGTCCCGACTGAAGAAGCAGCGTGAGCTCATTGACATCAAACAAAAGGTTGCAGAGGAGGAGAGAGAATTGGAACTGGCTCGCGGTCGACTTCTGGCCGCGACCTCCCTGGAGCTTCCCCCGCCACCCCTGCTTCGACTCCATCCAGAAGCGAGACAAAGCAGAACAGCAAGGCTGGTATTGATGGAGCCCAAAAAGACCCTTTTGCTGCCCGATCTGAGAAGATTACCACTCCAGCACCTCTGACCAAAGCTGCTGATCGTCGCCCATCCGAGGCCAAGCCGACTGAACCCAAGCCTTCCCCTAAACCCGCAAACAATCTCGTGTCCGGTTTGAACCTCGAGCAATTGCGAGCCCTTGCAGCAGCTACCAGGTCCCCCGCCGCACAAACAGTTGTCAAGACTGAATCCCGTTCCAGTCTTCAACCTTCCGCCCGACCTTTTCATCCCGAAACATCCATCCATGCCCCACCGGTGCCCAATGTCCCGGTATACAACGGACGAGCTCTGGGAGAGTTCAAGAACTTCTCTATGGGTCTAGAGCGACACTTCGATAAATATCCAGAGTGGTACAAGATCGATGAGCGCAAGGTCACGCGGGCGCTTAAGCACGTTGCCCTTAATATCGAAGATGAGTGGAAACGACACATACGTCACCTACCCGCCGACAAGATCACCTACGCCAGTTTCTGTACTTTCCTTATTCACCAGCTCCAAAACGGAGTCTACCCAGATGTTGCCAGGTCGCGCTATATGGATAGCTATCAGCGACCGGCCCAGTCTGTGACTGATTTCTCCAATTGGATGCAGCAGTGGGTGCCGCATTTCCCGAATAATGACTCGGAGCGTGACCGCATGCGCCATCTCTTTGAGCATCTGATGAACAGGGTTCGCAACGAGGCCGATAAGACCCATTTGGACTTCGATAACTATTATGAGTTTGTCGAATATCTCCAACGGGTTGAGGATTCCATCGGCAGTCGCGCTGAGTCTCTTGGTCGCCGGGTTATCAACCCTCGAAAGCGACCTCGCAGCGACTAAAGCAGTTCGACTTAGTTGAGAGAGCTTCACTTCGAGACGATGCTCCAATGAAACTGACTTTATTTACATCTGCACCCGGGGATATATCGGAGGGAGGTGGGTTTCTTGCAATTCAATGGGGGAATTCTCCGTGCAATCAAACCTCTTGACTTTTCCGTGTACATACCAGGGCGCTACGAAAAACCTTTACAGCAAGGCATTCGTAATGATTTTCTTCATTTTTCATTAATGAACCACCTCTCCGATATCCACCGTGATCAGCTGCAATCTTTCCTACTTGTGTACATGTGTAGTTTTAATACTAGATCTCCTATAGAATACTTGGAATGCCAACAGCCGGGTTCCTGACCAGAGCCTCCTCAAGCTGCTCCTTACTTGCATTGATATAACGCTTCACCCAACCATTTCCATTACTAAACCTCACCCCCGAATTCGGCTCATCCCCCCCAGAGCGCCCTGTACTCCTTTTTGGTAAAAAAAACAACGCCTGCCGTTCATGGAAACAAGCCAAGATGATAGCGTCGGGCTCACCGCTACAGCAGGCGCAGTAACCGGGATTCTTATTGGGGGCGGGAGGTGCCACAGTCCCATTAATGAGTACCTTATTCAACATCTCGTAGCTGGTGCCGTAAACTTCGTAGATCGGGTCATCCAGGGAAGTGTGGACGAAGCGCACTTCGAGGGGGGCATGGTCATCGCAACATTGCGATCCAAGCTTCAGCCAGAGGCTGCCGATGTTGTTCAGATTGCAGATTCCGTCGTAGTCAGGGTGTTGGACGAAGTACCCGTATTCCTGAGGGAGAACGCTTGTGAGGCCTGGTGTCAGGTCGGCGATTGCTTGAATGGCCTCGGCCAGAGGGAGAGTGTGCAGGGCATCGATGTGGTCTTGCAGTTTGGAAGCCATGATGTATAATTTCAAGGAAACCTGGGGGAAGAGGCCGCCTTTTCTCCCTTTTATGTCGACGAGGCTCTTGTTTGTTTGTCATTTCCTGGAGCCACGTACTCTGTACTCCCGAATTAAGTCTGTTTGCTGCAGCTGGGGATTGAAACTGAGTGGCCATGTCAACTGCGGCAGTTGCCTGGTGTTCTGTATTCTCCCACGGACTAAAGCTCTCCGTATACATATCTATCTGCCTTGCCATACCGTGATACTGTGGACTGTACATCCAACCTCTGGTAGTCTCGGAATCCCATCAGCATGATTTTCTGCGGTAGTTGAATTTCCAATCCTTGTCTTAGGTTGTTTTGCAATTTGATTGGAGGACTTACCTCCTGCACCCGACAAGATGTTTGGCTACTGGACCCTGGAGATATGCAGGTGCATTGACCCATGAGCGTTCTTCTATTGCTCAGCACTTATCTTGGTTGGATTTGAACGAATCATATTGGATTCAATTTGAGATAAATCAATCTCCAATAGGATGCAAGGTATATCGATAATATCGATGATCGGGATGTTTATACGTAGGTTAAAAGGGGAAACCCCCCCACTTGATGGGACCCGCGGGATTGGACCCATTGACTAGTCAGATTCCCCGACTTTCTCTCTTTTTTATATTCTCGGCCTCTGGCCTTTGGGCTTCAGAGGTGTTTGGAAAATTGCACTCTGGGATCTTGGCTTTTGTGTTTTGTTTTGGTCGCGTGATGAAATCCGCGTCTTTACCGCCTTGCCAGGTACAACAGGCACACCAGGCACACCAGGCACCCCATCGATATGTTCGTTGGGGATTACCTTTGGTTGCAGCCGTGTTGATTCTCTTAGTCTGGCCTATTCCATTACCTTCATGGAAGGTAGTTGAGCCTTTGGACATCCCAGTCACATGGGACGAGATCGTTCCTTCCCAGGAGCTGAAGTATCACAATTGTGGAGATGAGTTCCAATGCGCAAGACTGGAAGTGCCTATGGACTACCAACGGACGGACGGAAAAGGTCGCACATTCTCCCTCGCTGTTGTCCGACTGCCTGCCAAGGTCCCAGTCACAGACCCACGGTATGGGGGTGCGGTTCTGATCAATCCGGGTGAGTGGATCTGCACTTGATATGATGATCTAAGCTCATATCACAGGTGGACCTGGTGGACCGGGAACAATGCAAGCGTTCGTGGCGGGTCGCGATCTCCAGTTGATCATCGATGCGGAGGCTGACCCAGAAGAGACTGGAGAAGAGTCTGGCAACAAATACTTTGATATTATCGGATTTGATCCCCGTGGGGTAGGATCCACAACGCCTCCAGTTATGTGTTTTCCTGATCCCGTATCCCAAAGGAATTGGGAATTGCAAGTCTCCGCAGAAGGCATGCTGGGAAGTGGACCGGATTCCCTGCAGAGAAACTGGCAGCGGACCCAAGCGCTGAACTTGGGCTGTTCAGTATTCGATATGTCAAGTCTAGGAACCGATGAGCCAATGATGTCCTATGTCAATACACCACTCGTCGCACAGGACATGCTGACCATTATCGAACGTCATGGAGAATGGCGCGAGAAAGAGGGCAAAAGAGCCCAGATAGCTCACAACAAGTGTCATGGACTCGATCAAGAAAACACAATCTTGAAACGGACTAAATGGCACCGTGGAAAGGAGCCACTTCTATATTGGGGTCGCTCATACGGTACCCTGCTGGGCACCACCTTTGCCTCGCTCTTCCCGGAGCGAGTCACACGAGTTGTTCTCGATGGTGTAGTCGATATGGTTAAGTACTACCAAGGATCAGGGCCGAATGTTGTTGCCGACGCAGATGCCATCTTTGATCGATTTGGCCAGTACTGTAATGAAGCTGGACCAGTGGGATGTCCCTTCTATGTGGAGGGTGGTCCAGACGCCATCAGGGCGGCCTACTCGCAGCTTGAGCAGCAGATTCTCAACAGCTCAATTCCTGTTATGGCATCTATGGAACGGGGACCAGAAGTTGTAACTTGGACAGACATCAAAGACATTCAACGTGTCGCCATCTACCAACCCCTCCTTGCATTCCCCATCCTGGCAGATAGAATGACCGAGCTAGGCAAAGGGAATGCGGTTCCGATGGCTGACTTTAAGCATGGTAGCCACTTCGGTGCATGTCCGTCCAACAAATGCAGTCTTGCTGGTCCTTGGTCGCCAGAATGTGCTACCTCACAGGATAACCTACTCTATGCCATGGCTGCTATTATGTGCTCGGATGCAGAATATTTGACGACTCCGAATATTAAGCAGTTTCAGGAAGAATGGTCTAGCCTACTATCCGACAGTGCATATTTGGGTGATTATTGGGCCCAATTGCAATTGAGCTGTGTTGGATGGAAAGCCAAGGCTAAGTACCCTTTTGCGGGTATGTCCTCTCATGACCTTTTTGCGTTCGCAACTGACCGATCTCAGGGCCGTGGGGCGCTGCTACCGCTCACCCTATGCTATTCGTATCAAACACTCTGGATCCAGTGACGCCTCTGCACAGGTGTGTGTGTATTCGCTCTTCGCTAGTGGCTGTCCATGCTAACCGCCCTAGCGCCCAACACATGTCCCAGATCTTCCCGGGATCTGGTTTGCTCCAGCAAGAATCAGAAGGAGTGAGTTACTCGCGATAATCCTCCAGCAATTCATATCTAACATATTTCATCTAGCACACCACACTCACAGCCCCATCAATATGTGTGGCGAAGGCCATTCGCCATTACTTCCAAACTGGCACATTACCAGTGGTAGGGACTCTTTGCCAAGCTGATTTGAAGCCATTGGTTGGATCCCCGCATCGTCATGCGACGATCAGCCAACACTTCAGCCCATCCGACCGTAAACTGTTCGAGGCATTGATGGCGGAGGTTCAACGGGCACCTTCGTTTCCGCTATAAAGATCCCCAAACTAGATATCATGATTGGATGAACACGTAACGAAAGGGTCTATCCAGCCTTGGAGCTAACTATTACGATTTGATGCATTAATGATTGAAAATGTTATATATCCAAGTTTAGCGATTTGATTTGGATGTTTTCGGTTTTATATTAGCTATTTCCTTATTCTTTTCAATACTATTCAGCATGTACTGTTTAATCTCAACTACCCATCAAATATCACCTTATCACCCCTAAAAAGGCGATTCATGCGAGGATATCCGCTTGCGGAGAACCAACCTCGGCTCACCGGCCAATCCAACATCGTCGATAATCAGCACCCCCGCTTCGGACCTTTCTCCGCTTTGTATGTCTGTCGAAGATCATATATAATTCCTGTGTTTTCCGACAATCCTAAATACAGACAACGAATAATCATGGCTCCTCCAACTGCCACCGAGACCCTCGCCAACACCATCAGCATGCAAGCACCACAGTCATCCCAAGCGGAAGGTGCCGAAAAGGCTAAGGTCAAGATGCAGATGCCCAGTATGCCTGTATTCGAGGATAAGATGAAGGAGCGAGAGTATTTGAAGGGCCGCCTAGCGGCAGCATTCAGAATCTTTGGTGACAAAGGATACGACGAGGGTATGCATGGTCCTATGCATGGTCCTACAGAGAAACACCGAGTTAACAACTAACATCGTCATTAGGTGTCGCTGGGCACATCACCCTACGCGATCCGGTGGATCCGACAACATTCTGGGTGAACCCATTCGGCACGGCATTCAAGCTGATGAAGGCATCAGACTTAATCCAAGTCGACCACCATGGAAAGGTCATTGCAGGTGGAGAGAACCGATTGCTGAACGCCGCTGCATTTATGATCCATTCCGCTATCCATGAAGCACGACCCGATGTCAACTGCGCTGCGCACAGTCATAGTCTTCATGGACGGGCGTTTTGCTCGCTGGGTCGACCGCTTGATATCATCTCGCAAGATGCCTGTGCTTTCCACAATGTAAGTCCTCCTAGTGTCTTGTAATACGTACTTCCACGTTCAGGCCTCTACCTAACAGGTTCAGGACTTGGCTCTCTATTCATCATTCAAAGGCGTCGTGCTAGCGGAAGAAGAAGGCCGGAACATCGCCAAAGCTCTGGGTAACAAAAAGGCCGCTCTGCTGCAAAATCACGGCCTCTTGACGGTCGGTAACACTATTGAAGAAACAGTGTTCTGGTTTGTGAGTCTGGAAAAATGCTGCTACGCTCAACTCCTAGCGGACGCCGCAGCTACTGGACGAGGTGGCCAAACAGTGAAAATTGAAGAAGCCGACGCGGCATTCACCTACAAAACAGTGGGAACTCCAATGGCCGGCTGGTTTAGCGCGAAGCCCCTGTTTGATGTGATCCACGCTGAGACTAAGGGTGAATACTTGGAATGAGATATCCACAGGGTCTAACCTTAATGTGTCGGCATTTTGGGATAAATTGCCGAGGAGATTGAATATTTTGTGCGTGAAGTGAGACACAAACAGCCGGATGCGTACGGATTATACGTATTAGCCTTCTCATCTATTTCATATTGCATTAATTGCTGTACGGAGTACGGAGTAGTCTAATTCGAATACTGACTAGTGTCACTACCGGCGCCACAAATAGACCCTGTCAGGTGAATAAAAACTCCCAATGTGGAGCTTCGGACTTGACTGGGCCTATCTGACGAAAATTAATGCATCAATGAGAGGGTCTGCCCCGTATTATGCACCGCGGTTGTCCACTTTTACTAGCCAGCCTAGTGTTGGGCTTGTTTTAAGGTGAAACATCCAGCCCTAAGGGGTTTCGGGAGATGCTCCGCTTTTGGTCGATTCCACCACTCCACTAGCAGACATGGCCGAAGTCTTGCCGGAAGGAACTATAAATACAAGGGTTGTCAGTGTCGATATGAATTCACACCAATCAACTCTTCTAGCCCATCATCATTATCACAATGCGCTTCATCGTACCTTTCCTCGCTGCCGCTGGCCTTGCCAGCGCAGGTCTGCTAGAGACTGTTGTCAAGAGAGATGACTACTGGGGTGGCAGTGTCTCGCTCGGTCCCTCCAAGTCGACCATCGTCAACGCTGTCACGACGTTGATCCCCGGACCTGCCCCACCAACTCAGAACGGTGTGCTGTTCCTCTGGCCGGGTGTATGTCCTCGATTTTTCTGAAGGGTCTTCTGGTCACTAATAATCATAGATGTCCAACGGAACCGGTGACTTGGTCCAAACCACCCTCGAAAGCTGGTCTAGCAATGCATGGTGCGGAGCCACCACCGGACAGTGGTGTGTGCGCGCCAGTGTCTTCGGCAGCTTCGGCCAGCTGGATGGTGATGGATCCCCCGTGAGCGGAACCGACCAAGTGCGGATTGAATACGATCTTGAGTCTGATGGACAGACCTGGACGCAGTACGTATGGATCCAAGGTGGCTAGATACATCGCAACTAACATTTGCAGGACTGTCACAAATGGTGAGACTGGAGCCGTGCTTTCAACCTACTCCCACGAATCTGGACCCTACATGCGAGGGTAAGTCAATTGCTAGAGTGGTATTTATTGACTATACTGACCTAACTTAGCTACGGTACCGGAACTGAGTGCAACGACAACTGCTCGGGAACTATCGCTGCGCAAAAATACCTTAATACCGTTATCACTCTCGCCTCGGCTGATACCACCTTTGGTTCGACTATTGCTAGCGCTGGTGGTGCTACTTATACTGAGGTTACTTCTAGTGAGGGTGGAAAGGTGTGGACTATCAAGGAGATTGACATTCCTTCAATGCACTAAAAGAGGCAGGGAGCACCAAGGGTTGAATTGTGAGTGTGTATGAGGTGTCGATATATTCTTTTCTTGCAAAGTGTGTAGGATAGCTGGGAAACCCCGTCAATTATTGAACGGGTTAATCGCTTTTATAATGACAAAGTTCATTGTGTATATACAAACTTCCTCTTCACCCCCGATAATCAAGTACCACCTTAAGCCGCACAGGACCAGGAGACGCCGCACCACCAATTCCATCCAGGTGTTTCTTTGACTTGACATAAGCATCAACCACCTTCTTAGCACCAGGCGTGATAATAGAGCATCCCTTCCCATCGGCCTGGCAGATAGACATCCCCTGAACAGGTTGATTCGCAATCTGCGCCTGAATAGCGGAAACATCCCATCCCGACCACCCATTATTCTCCCCATCACCGAACCCAAACTCGCCCCAAGTGCACGAGTATCCACCCCATTGATCCTTGGGCAAATGATCACCAGGCGCAGCACCCCAAGCGCCCTCGGAGTCCTCATCAAAAGCAACATAGCGAGTCTCGCCGGGTGCAAGAGTAAAGGTCAAAGCAGAGTTCCCATACCACCCGGTCAATTTGCCGTCAGGCCCGATCTTGTTCCACACAACCACCGTCCAGGGCTCATCGTTTGAACCCGTGAACTGCGCTACATATTTATACGTATGTGCCTCGGTCGGACTGACATTGATGATATTGCTTCCCCAAGGCTTGCCGACATTGCCCTGGTACTGGATCTCCGTGCCTTTGCCTTTCGGCTGAGTACGTCCCCCGAATTTGTTTGTTGCAAACTGGCCTTTCGGTGGTGTTGCGGTCCAATCTGCTGACGTGGGCCCGTCTGGCTTTGGGCCTGGGAGGACCTGGTCTACTGCTGGGAGATTAGGGATGACTTCGCTCGGCAGATCGAGTACAGCGTCGATGGGTCCGCCGTGGCTTTTGTTGTGTGGTGGTGGAGATGGACGTTTTACTGGGACGGCTTTCTCTTCTTCCAAAGAGCCCTTTGGAAGAGTGTCTGCAAGGGCCGCGGCCTTTTCTGCCTTTGGGGGATCCCGGTGTATGTGTTTGCAGGTGGTACAGGGCTGCCTCCTGGGTAGGCAGTGACCGTTACTGTATTGGTTGCAGTTTTGGTGATCGTTTGCGTCTTGATCATAGTGGTAATGGCCTCTGGCTGCGTTGGCCTGGGAGCTGGGGGCTTGGGTTGAATGAATTGAGACTGAGCGGGCCTTGTGTTTGTCGGCGCCGGGATAATAGGTTCAGGGTGCTGTTCTTGTTGATGCCAGTGCTCCTCATAGGCCTCGGGACGCGTGAGGTTGTGCACAGCATGATCGTGTGCACACGGTGTAGGCTCAGGTCTATGCCTGACAAGCGTAAGGGTCGAGTGAATGGGATTTGTTGGCGCGCAGTTTCCAAAAACGGTTGTGGTGGTCGTGAGGGTAATGGATTCCACCACAAAGTCATCCGGGGCATTATTCACGTTATCCCAAGCCAGATTTCGCGGCTCCAAGTCTTCGATAGGCGGCATCAAGTGGCGATGACGATGTCCATGGGCAGGATGCTGTATGCCAGCAAAGGCATACCCAACCAAGCCCGCGACAAGGACGGATATAGAAACGCGCCCCATTGTAAGTCACAGAAAGTTGGGATCGGCAATAGTTCCGTAGTATATTGGGTCAATGATCGACGCGATGTACTAAGGCGTCAATGGGTTTATACTCTAAAAATAAATAAAAGACACGCTCAGTTGATCGAATCCATGTCGATAGTGCGGTGTTGGCGGTTGTCGTAGTTGTCAAGTACACACGCGATCTGGGGAGGGGACATGGTTTTATACAACCCTTTGAGAAAGGAAAAAGTCTGGACTGTTTATCTGGAATGCCATCGCGCGCTTCGCCTTTGAAGGGCTCGAAGGGGACAGTAGCAGCCCTGAATTCCGGGGTTCCTTGGCCGTCCCTTGGAAGACTGTGAATCAGCCTGCATTTTTGGAGCAATTCGATACAAATCAACGTAGCATGTCTCATGCACTAGATATTAGTTAGACAATCGGGAGAAAGCAAAGAAAATAAGAGTGCCTCTTGGGGAATTAATGTTCAATGCGTCCACGTTGAGGTTCAAGGTAGATCTCAGATGGTCGATGTAGCCCCTCGCGTCGCATTCCGGCCCTCGATCACGTTCGTCCCTCTTTTTTCCCCCGCGTGAAACATGATTCAAGGGTATTACACTAGGATGTAAATTATTCTGTTTAAGTGGCTTGATCGATATTGGAATTGTGGTTGTATCAGTGAAGGGATTGAATCGACAACATATATTTCAATGAGTGTATGGAGGAGAAATGCTAGAAAGGAGTGTGTATCAACAGAGTATTATGGGCTAGTCCTCCAATAAAATTCAAACATAAAAAACTTCCATGATAATAAATGAGCCAAAAAAATACTATCAAGCACTTATTTTTTTAGTTTTGTTTAGTTTTCCTTCCAACGCAAGACTTACGATGCCACTTCCTGTCCCTCATCCGGAGAGACCATCATGCACAGGAACCCGAGACCTGGGTCTGTGGGGGTCCAACGTCAACCAACTGGGTACCAGTAACAGTAGTGACACTGTGGTCAACGCCGTTGAAAACGCAAGTAACGCCCTCGGTGCCGGTTTGAATGTGGGAGATGCTCAGAGGGTTCGCTATACAAATTAGTGTCTTCGTTTGCGCATTGCGAAATATATAGATGGACATACTAATTTGAATCCATTCACCGCTGGACGGGAAGCTCTGGGTAAATTGAGCGTCGGCAGCTCCAATGAAGGTGACATGCACTTGATCCCCAGTAGGACCGGGATTGGTGCCACGGGGTGCAGGGGTTGAATCCGATCCCTGGACCTGGCAAGATCCAGTCACCTGGGTCTGCGGAGGGCCAACGTCTACCCATTGGACTCCATCGACAACTGTCACGCTGTGATCAACGCCGTTGAAGGTACACTGAACCCCGGCAGTGTTGGATGAGATATGCGAGATACTCAATGGGTTTTCTAAGAAAGTTAGAATAGTTCCGATCTAGCTGCATGGGATGAGGACATACCAATTGAGACAACGGACCCGTCAGTAGGGATGCTTTGAGTGAACTGAGCGTCGGCGGCGCCAACGAAGGTGATTTCAACTTGGCTGTTCCGTTGTTTTAGTGGAATCGCACTAGCAGTAGCTGCATAGGCAACAAAAAGACCAAAGATTGTAGAAGACTTCATTTTCAGATGAAGTATAATTGGAAGATTAAAGATTGTTGAGATTGTAGTAGAAGGTTGTGTTGGTTGTGTTGATACAAATAATCAATGAGATACTGAGAGGCTTTATATACCTTTTTTTCTATATTTTCTGTACCTCTAAGACAAGCCTGCAGCGTAATCACAACACGAGTTTCTAATATTAGACCAGATACTCTTTTCCATGGTTGATCGGATAGTGACGTTGGGATGTTTACTACCTATAGCATAGCCACTAGGGTACACGGAGAGAACCTTGGAATGGATGAGAAGACTCAGATGATATGTTTTAGATGACCCAAAGTCCGAAATTCTATTTCGCAAAGGCATTAGGGTGCATTTGAGGCCATGGTGCACAAGTTAGGAGTTATTTTACACATCGTCTTTTTGGCATAAGAGTGATTTTGTCGAACACACTCATTTGCCTAGTATACATAATTTACCTATCTATTATACCTAGAGTTATTCGGGAATGTCCTTAACACAGCTATAGTACACATTCAATGCATCATCGATATTAATATAAATTCTTATTTCCTGGTCCAAGAGACCCTGTGACTGCGGAACTTGCCGACCCCCCACCCCCGGATTTTTGGAACCTCGTATCTCAAGCTGACTGTGTCTCAGAAGAGCACTTCATGTCTACAGCTTGGCAAATTTCCCTCGGGCGCAATGGGATCTGAGTTACGTGTGCCAGTGATCTTCCTTTGCCGTCATATTTTTGCGGTTTGCGGGTTAGGCGGCACCCCAACTCGCCACCTAATGCGCTATATATAACTTCCCCCATAACTAACACCCAAGTTAAGGTTTCCAGCGTCGAAAGTTGGGGGTACCAGTATGGGGAATGAGACCCAACAAATAGAAATGCCAATAACCCGCTTTGACACAGCGCAAGTCGACAGGAATCGAGATATCCCTCACTTGCTTATCAACGGTAAAAAAATATGAAATATTTCGGATTGAGAAATACTGCTGAGGATCATAGATAGATGCCCACCTGGGAGGACCTCCAGGACGGGATCACATTACGATTACCTAAGCTGTAATGCTGCCTCCAGGGCTGCGGGCGTCCACTGTAGCGATTTCATCCTCATGCTTGGGTTCAACCTTGGAAGGGAGCATGTGCCATCTGCTGGAATTCTATAGGATCTCACTTGGATTCCATTGTAACAATAGCTATATATTTGATGTATATAAAAAAGACTGGAGCCAAAAAAAGTTCAGCCCTCCCCGGACTTCGGAGGCTCGGGCTCCGAGCCCGGCTGCCTTGGGGCCTTGACCCTTGACCTCCAGGGCTACTACAACTCAAATATTTAATAACCTGTGAATAAATATAGGTCAGCATGAGTAGTGTGAACGATGCATCTGCTTTATCTACCTCATCTGACTTAAATTACACCTGCAACGAATGTGCGCGTTCTTTCCGACGCCGCCAGCACCTCGACCGTCATCACGCATCTCACCTGAAGCGGAGGCCGTTCCAATGTCAAACATGCAATAAGTCCTTCACGAGAAGGTGAGAAAGTAATCCTGATTCCGCTCGCGTGTTTATACGACTTCTAACCCCTCAGTGACACTTTACGACGTCACACGAGTCTCCACGGCCCAATTCCTAGTGGAGTTGAGAGCTTGCCTAGGGCCGTGCAAGCATGTACAAACTGCATGCGATCCAAGCAGAGATGCAGTGGAAGATCGCCATGTGAGCGCTGTTCTCGCCGGGGCAGGCGGTGCTTGTTTCCGGAAGATCCGAAGAAGTCGGGGCTCCGGATGACAGCTTCCCCAAGGGATGCTTCGGCAATCCAGCCAGGTCAACCTCATGATCGTGGTGCAGCTGGAGAACAACCTCATTCTGAAATGAATGTCGCTGCAGAGTCCATTTTGAGTGCCGCGGTGCCGTCAATTGAGCAAAACGCAATATCGGTTAATCCTTGGGAACCTACGCCGACAATGCGGGATGATTTGAGTTTTGGCTTTGAGGCAATGCTTCTTTGGCCTTTGGAAGACTATGGTCCTTATTGTGCTGAGATGCCGGCCTTATCAAACCAGATACCGCCTGTCAATATGTCCTTTGACGGATCGCAAGAATCAAATCATGAATTAACAGATGCTCCAGACGAATTCTCGACAGCGGGCCAGTCTCAGAGTCAGCAGGCAAATTTCCATCCAACTCAACTAGAGCCGGGTGACAAACCTGACCCCCAGCTTTCAGAGGCTGATCTTGACATACTCGCAGCCGAGGACTTTTGTCAAGTTCCCTCCATATCTTTGTCAACTTATGAAAAAATATGCGAGATGTGCGACCATATATCACAATACTCCAGCCTTCAACTGCGTGGAATTCTTCCGAGTTTGGACATACTGAATGTATTTGTTCAATTGTACTTCGAAAAATTCCACAAATCCTTCCCAGTCCTCCATCAGTCTACCTTTGAAACAACGAGTGACTCCTTGTTGTTATACATCGCCGCCGCTGCGATTGGTGGGCAATATTCACGTCTTTCTGTGCGAGCAACACACATTACTGGCTTGATTCGAATTTTACGACATGCATTCTTGTCCAAGGTACGCCATATTGTCAACTTCCTCTGAAGACTGGAATTACAATTAACCTCTGTAGCTTGGTCTGGGTAGTTCATCCTTGGGTGATATTTGCTTAGCTCAAACAATATTACTTTTCACATTTTCGTTGATTTTTGGTGGTAACCGAGATGATATCATCCATGCTCAGTATCAACGCAATATCTTGACCACGATTTGTCGGCCACTACTTGTTCCAGGGATTCTTTTCGAGAAAAATGGGGCCTCGAGGCCTGGACCAATAACGAGTGATTGGTCGCGATGGATTAAGGTCGAGTCTTGGAGACGAGTTTTCTACTTCCATTGGGGTGAGTGCGCCTGATGCCCTGAAACGTGCTGGCAGAGGATGCTAAATACAATATGGCAACACAGTTTCTGAGTGTATACAATATGTTCTCTTCGATATTCCTCCAGTAATGTCTGTGAGCGATTTGACTCTCGACCTCCCTTGTGATGAGGATCTATGGACGTGTGGAGATGAACAAGAGTGGAAACAGAAACTTGCTTCAAAACCAAGTAAGAAATTCATACTTACCACCGGTCCGTTTGATACTAATCCGTAAATTCCAGGCCCGAGGCAGTCGGTAAAGGTTGTTGAACTGCTTCGGAACAGAAGTCTCAGAAAAGATGAGCTGGAACCTTTGGGACCTTCTGCTCTCTTTGTGGCAACCTGCACCGCTTACGTGGAAGAAAGAGCACTGATGAAACAGTTTGGTGACGACCCATCAAATCCACTGTTCGAAGCCTCACCAGAAAGTATCTTCAATCGCCTAAACAAGCAGACCGACGATCTATTGGACATTTTCCTGCAATTCTATAGTACCCACACTGCCACCTCGCCCATTGTCGGTAATACTGCGAAATTGTGTCATCTCTTCCAAATCATCCGCTTTATTCCGTATCGAATTCTATACTCATCCTGCGGTTGGTGGATGCGCAAACCCGAGGCAGATGTCTTCACGCAACAAATTTCCCGGAAACTTGAGGAAGATCCCCAAAAGGCTCGCCAGTCGTTGATCCACGCAGCTCAAATCCTGCATCTTATTCGAACTCAGCAGCTACCGGAATGCTGGGACTCATTTCTCTTTCTCATAGCGTCATTGTACATTTGGTTCTATGACCGGTTCGTGGTGGCTCGAAAAAGAGGCAGGGTAGCTGGTCCGACGCACCTCCATACTCTGCGAATTGATCAAGGTATTAGTCACGCCAATTTAGCGAATTGGGTGCACGGAGAGGGGGAGGATGAGAAGCCTGTCCATATATCTGGCATTGGGGTGCTTAATGGGGCGGATAGTACCTCCCGCGTTCTGAAAGAAGCTATTCATGTACTAACCCATGATGGCCCCTGGTCTGTACAATCAAATACCATCGCTAGGTCACTCCAGGGAATGCTGGCAGGTGTATTTCCTTCATTTGATGACTGATTTATTCTGCTGGGGAACGTTGGTTTAATATTCAGTTTATGTCGATATACTCATGAATGTCAATCGCAGAACATCAATCTAGAAACAAAATGACAGCAAATTTTCATAACCAAGCACAACGGTTTGCTCCACCATAGATACGAATATGTAGCTTCAGATGATTTGGAGCATGGAAAAATGAGAGAGGGGCCGACGGGGCCGGCGGGACCGACGGGTAAAGTGTGGGTGAAATTGTCGGACATATCGGTCTTTTTTCTACCGACAATTACAATCCGACAAATAGATGTTCACGGCAGCTGATTATGGAGTATGGGAATGAGACGATTTGGTTCTGTTCTTAAATGGAATTAATCATCATACCGACGGTGTTAGGACGGATTTAAAGGCTTGGGGTGTATATAAAAACGATGGTTGCTACTAAGAGGTAGTAGCATTGACACAACTCTTGAATATCTTACTCCGTTCAAATCTATGGCATGTATATCTCCCGAGCCTCCTGGCATTAGCTAAACTAATATCTGGTAGCAATCAACCAAAATGGCAACCGTTGACTATGAATTGATTCGCAATGCGATCGCTCAGTACTCTCTCGCCATCGACCGAAAGGAATACCAACAGCTCGCGAAAGGGTTCACGACAGATGTTGTTATGAAATTTCCAGAACCTATTGGTGCACTGAACGGCCTGCCAACTGTCATTTCCGCTATTGAAAGCGCACTTGAAAATTTGACGACCCACCATGCTTTAACGACTCAGACCGTTGAGTTGACCGACGAGAAGACAGCTTTGGCAACAACGTACTGCATGGCTATGCATTTTGATACTAAAAGTCAAGGAAAACGCAGTGTGACTGGATGGGGATCATATGATGATAAGTTGGTGAAGGGGATTTACGATGGCAAGGAGGACTGGCGCATCGTGGAAAGGACAGTGCATTTTCATGTTCCACACACTGGAGATGCGTCGCTACTCGGATTAAACTAGTTTGCACGAAATCTTTGTATCAACATATGACTGTTTCATAGAAATCATCACCTATTTTTGCGTTCTTGCTGTTGAGATCAGCTGATCCTGTTTCACAGGACTGGCAGCTACAAATAACCTTCTCTCACTCTTCTTCTTTTCCGCTTAGCAGTTACCAGAAGCTTCAATACTGTCAGGTTTCCTACTATATCTTCTCATAGTATCTCATTACTTGCTTTGTAGTGGTGTTCCAGTGTTTGGAGATCTCCCTTGGACAGGTTTATGCAGTGCAGGAAACAGATACACACAGCCCTAGAAGCCGATCAGTTAACAAATATGGGTGGTAAAATATAACACGAGAAATTAATTGAAACGACGTGGTCAGTTTGGAGTTAGAAATGCTCGAATTATGGATCTTGAATAGGACTAGGCATCTAAGAGCCACAAGGTTAGCGAGGTCTCATGACCTCTATTGGGTACTCATTATTTGTATATTCTAGAAATAAGCATGAAGGAAATAGAATGGATATGTGGGTGTTTACGCTCGAAAATTAGCAAGAGAGAAGAGCAATTTGATTTATCTAAGACCGAATTACTTGACATATTTGAACGGAAAGTCCTAAGCTTTGACAATCTCCTTCTCAAACCAATCGAACATGACTTGATTCGAATGTCTTCCAGCGCCAACATGACAATGTTCTCCAGCAGCATCCTCGGCGGTGAAAACATGATAGTGCGCCCTATCCCCGAGAGCGTCCCTCATTGCCTCAGGCTGTCCCTTGAAAAAGTGATCATCTGCAGCACAAGCAACAAAGACAGGGCATTTGATCTTGTCCGCTATTCCAACCAATGAGAACATCTTCGATTTCTCAAGGTATTCAGCCGGGGTTTTAACATTGAAAGCCCATAGACCATGTGATAAGGCCCAGCGGGCAGTAGTTGGGATGCTGGGATTGTTGAACACAGCAGCGGCGGATTCAAAATCTTTGAGATGACCAAATGATGCAAGACCATGGATTGGGTCAAAGACAGGCGTATCGACAAAGTTGTACAGGCCGTCGATGCTGAAAACTGCAGCAATACGTGGTTCAAATGCCGCAGCGCGTGCCGCCAATAGACCAGACATAGATATGCCCATCACACCAATCTTGGTCATATCAACACTGGGAACAGTGTCGAGGAAGTCAACAACGGGAGAAAGAACTTTCTCCCACTCGTGGGTAAATCCGACACCCTGGTAACGACGGGAGCAAATCTGTCCTGGACCATCGTAGCAGATCACATTCCAGCCACGCTCGAGGATGGCAGCACCGTGTAGGTGGTACATTTCCTCCATGGACCCATCATAACCGCTACCGATAATGATGGTCGGTCGCTTCTGATCATCGTGGCCTGCGGGGAAAAAGATGGTGGAAATGTTGCACTCGGGTCCTGGGAGCTCTTTCCGATAGCCCGGGAAGGGAAGTCGGGCCATAGCCTGGTCGAAACAGAGAGTCTGTTTATTCCACAGCGGGATGATGCGTGGGTCATCCCAGTTGCCGTGGATGTAGAAATCGGCAGCACGGTAGTAGGTGGCCGCTCGGAACATGGCATCGCGGATAGAGATATCATTTGTCATGCTCTTACTCTGTTCAAGAATATGGTCCGCTCTTTTGTTGAAGACGGTGGAAAAGGATTCAAAGTCGCCAGGTGTGATTTCAGAGCTCATGGCAAGAACTTCACCTACGTCGGCACCACCATAGCTGGAGTGAGCCAGAAGCCGGAGGAGTTCGAAGTGGAAGGATTCGTCTAAGCTGAGACGCGACATAATTGGAGAGTAAATCACCTGCTGTCTTGGATATGAGATTGTATCATACCGTAGGTTCGATGGTGCGTTCGTATTTATACATCATGCTATACTACCGGAGATACGAGAGAGGCAAAAGACTGAGCGGAGCAAGGACAGTCGGCTTGTTTCAACACCGAGTCCGAAAATGCCACAGTACAAAAGAGTGGACCCTGAAGAATCTCATTCAGAGGTTAAAGTGATTTTTACTGTGTAATATTGCGGGGCCGACGGGGCCGAGGGAGGTAAACTTGATGGGAATTTGGTGACGATCCTCTCACGAGGCCTCTTCGGGGCTAATAATGACCGAAGACGCGAGAAGATGAAAAATAAAAACAAAAAATTGGTAATCCAGTTAGAAAATTCGATACCTTCATGCAGCCAAGAGGGTTTGAAGAGTGGGAGTCTACTCCCACTACTAGCGTAGATAGTGGCGGTTAATTTAAAGTCATCTAGCGTGAATATATTATGCGCCTAGGTCTCTGCGTTGTGGAGCGACGGTTTGAATGCTGTTTCATACAAGTAAATGAAATGTTGATGCCGAGGAGGGAAAGGGGCTATGCCACATAGGTTGCTTGGATATTTATCCTCCAAGGGTGATAAATGGGAGACTAGATCCGTTATCTACCAAAGACTTCAGTCTGGCAATGTGCCCAAGGAAAGTATTCCGACCACCATCTGGTTGCAGATGAGATAGTGCAATGCAAGCACTAGACAGAGGGTGTGTATGTGTAGCCTTACGGGCAAAGCGACAAGGCTGCAAGGCCGCAAGGCCATAAGGCTACAAGGCGATAAGGCAACAAGGCTACAATGTCACTAAAACATTCCGTTCTACTTGTAAATTCTCCCTACAACTTCTTCATGGCCACAATGGTTTGTATCTACAATGTAAAAGTTGAAGACGACTCACCAACTTCTCCAAATCCCCCCCTCCCCTCAATAGACCAATATTGGACATTCCGTCCGGCTTATCAAGAATTTCATGCGCGCTAAACCCTTTGGGGGAAAGATGCGCCGTATGAGCAACTGACCAATCAGATCGCCACAGCACCGCGAAAGATTTACCCAAAAGGGAAAGGAAGGGGACATGCTAGGTACCTACCCAGGGTTGTGCGAATATAAATGCATCGCGATATCCATCTTCGTAGAAACCATCCTCCCACAAACATTATCCATAATGGCGAGCCTTCACCCTTTTGACCCTATCACACCTGGGGAGATCCAATTGGCGGTCTCCGTTCTGGAATCCGCTTTTCCCGGTGCCAAGCTGCGTTACAAGCGCATCGATCTCCAGGAACCAGCCAAGCATGAGGTTGTGCCATTCCTCGAGGCCGAGCGCCGAGGTGAAGTGCGCCCGCTGAAACCGGCACGTTTGCTGATGGCGCTCTTCCACCGATTGGATAATGGGTCTTTCTTCAAGGCTCTGATCAACGCAGACCCCAAGTCTATCGTGTCAGCGAAAGAGCTGCCCAAGGACGTCCAGGGTCCACTGGACGTCGATGAAATGATGGAAATCGAGGAGCTGTGTCTCAGCCACCCAGCTGTCAAGGCCGAAATTGAAAAGTTGAAGCTTCCGGCTGGCTACACCGTCTGCTTAGATCCATGGATCTACGGCACGGAGGATGCCAAGGAAACTCGACGTTTGTTCCAGTGCTACATGTACATTGTGGCCAATGATCACCCCCAGAACAACCAGTATTCACTGCCTTGCAAATTCTCCCCGGTGTTTGATGGCATCACTCGCCAACTAGTCCGCATGGATTATCTGCCTGGTGGAGCCAATACTGAAAGCACTGAGACGCAACCCTGGAAGCCCGTGCCTGCTGTGCAATATGCGCATGACTTGCTGGATGAGCCTCTGCGCACAGATCTCAAGCCCTACATTGTTCAGCAACCAGAGGGAGCGTCATTTAATGTCATCGGCAATGCCGTGTCATGGCAGAAGTGGCGTTTCAGAGTGGGCTTCAACAACCGAGAGGGATTAGTGCTGCACAATGTGACATACGATGGTCGTAACACCTTCTACCGTCTGTCGTTCTCTGAGATGACAGTCCCCTACGCCGGTATGTGTTATTACCCTCCTTTTTCTTTTAGCAACATATCTAATTTATTCTAGATCCCCGTGCTCCCTACCACCGCAAGCAGGCCTTTGACGTCGGTGATGTGGGCTTCGGTATTACAGCTAACCAGCTGAGTCTCGGCTGCGACTGTCTCGGTCACATTAAATATTTCGATGGTTATCGTACGGATGCACAGGGAGAACCAATTCAACTAAAGAATGTCATCTGCATGCACGAGCAGGATAATGGCTTACAACACAAGCACACCAATTACCGCACTGGTGCGGCCACTGTCGTCCGTAACCGCCAGCTGGTAGTCCAGATGATCTGCACCGTTGCAAACTATGAATACATCTTCGCTTTCATCCTTGACCAAGCAGCCAATATTGAGCTCGAGGTACGGGCAACCGGTATCCTCTCAACCGTGCCCTTCGAAAACCAGAATGGCCAAACCGTGCCATGGGGAACAAATGTCGGACCAGACGTTATGGCTCCATTCCACCAACACATGTTCTCCCTCCGTATCGACCCTGCCATCGACGGCTACAAAAACACAGTGTACTACGAAGACAGCGTGCCCATGCCCGAGGATGAAAGCAACCCGTGGCTTGTCGGGTACACCACGGAAAAGAACATTATCAAGTCCAGTGGCAGTGCAACAACCAGTATCGACCGCCACCGCGTCTTCAAGATCCGGAACGACTCTATCGTCAACCCTATCACACACCACCCCATCGCCTATAAGCTGCAAACCATGCCAAGTCAGATGCTCCTCGCGCACCCGAACTCATTTGGCTCGAAGCGCGCCCGCTTCGCGACCCGTCCTATCTGGGTTACTAAATACCAAGATGACGAGCTCTTCGCCGCCGGCGAGTTCACAAACCAGAGCAAGAAGTCAGAAGGTGTGGAAGTTTGGGCTGCACGGAATGACGCAGTTGAGAACGAAGACGTTGTTCTCTGGCATAGTATGTTACTCTATCTAACCTCCCCTGAAATAGTAGCTAACCGTTCCTAGCATTCGGCCTCACTCACAACCCCCGTATTGAGGACTTCCCTGTTATGCCCATGGAGCGTGTCAGCGTGATGCTCAAGCCTGATGGATTCTTCACTAAGAACCCTGCACTAGATGTGCCGGCTTCGAGCCAGTCTTTCAACCAATCGACTTTGCACCCTGAGCCGGCTTGCTGTGCGGGTCCTCAGGAGAAAGTGCAGGTGAAATTGTAGATATTTTATGTGAAATGAGATCTAGAGGCTGAGCTCTGTAAATAAATGCTCTGGCTTACAACCAAATATAACGAAGTTATTCAATTGAATGCACACTCTTGGGAAGTTTCGATGCTCCTCCAAATGCCTATACAGCAAACAGCAGATCTTGGAGATATTATAATGAGTAGAAAAAAAATACCGCTTAGCCTATAGAAGGAATGGAGACCCAGTAATCAATTTAAATCCTCGATTACTTTCTAATATAGTCATTTAGATGGTGTTTGTGGAACTCTAGGACCGGTTAATTTTCACCATTATCTCGCAAACCGAGCACTGGCACCTTATGTTCCGTGTCAAGATGATGACCCTCGACGAATATCCCTGCTACCAGACCCACAGCTGCAAATGCAACATACTGGGCCTACTAGTTAGAATGACATTCCTTCTAACATGAATTGAGGCTTACCATAACCCAGACCGTTCGTAACGACTCGTAGATGGCCTGTCGTGCCACGAGCTTTTGATCCGGAGCGAGTGTATCGATGATCTCGATATTTGCCATTGCTCCTGCCGAGACCTGACTGGCTAGTTGCTCTCCCAGAGAGGAAACCAATTGGGCTCCTTTTCTTGCCATCTGATTCTGGAAAACGACTGTTCCAATGACTACCGAGATCGCGGTAGACAGGGTCCTTACGAATCCAATGGTGGCAGTGGCAGTGGCTGCATTATCCGCCCCCACGATTGCTTGGACAGCCAACAACGGCCCCTCAAAATTTAAACCGATGCCGATTCCAGCAATGACCTGAAACCCCATGATTTTCCCCCAGTTGGCGGTAACCTCTAGGTTGATCAGCAAACCCACTCCTAGCGTCATAGTGGTTAGCCCCAACCAAATCGCTGGGATATAGAGTCCTGTCTTTTGGATGAACAGTCCAGTCAACGCAGCTGAGACGGTGATAGCCAAGACGAACGGAAGAATGTAAACCCCGGACATAATAGGGCTAGATCCAAGGACCGCCTGGAAGTATAGGGGGAGATAATACGCTTCGCCCATGAAGATGTACCCATGGCAAAAGCAGACCAGGAAGGAGGCGATACCGGAGCGATGATGGAAGAGGACCAGAGGAATGACGGGGTATTTGACCAGTTTCCATTCGTTGATAACGAACAGACCCAGAGTTACACCGGCAAAGACGAGGAGACATATCACGGTGGTAGAGTCCCAAGGATGCGTGACGCCTCCAAAGTCGAGACCCAAGAGGAGCATGATGGTGCTACCGATGACGAACAAGCACCCTGTCCAATCAACAGCCTTCAGACCACTCCATAATGGGGTATTAGGTGTCTCAAGTTTGAGAGTAAGCCATAAAAACAAGAACACTAGTCCAGTGATTGGGAGATTGACCCAAAAACACCAGCGCCAACTAGAAGAAGTCAGCGACATGCAATGTAACATGTAGGATATAAGACCATTGCGCATACACACCTTGCTTTTTCAGTGAACACCCCACCGAGGACTGGACCTACTCCACTGGCGAGAGCCCATACCACAGAAAGGAGGCCAAAATACAGTCCGCGATCTCTGAGCGAGAACAAATCACTGACACAAATGTTCACGAGGGTGATCAGCCCAGCTGCTCCTAGTCCTTGCACGGCCCGACCAAACAGGAATAGTGCGATGGTATCTCCGACTGCACAGATCAAACTTCCGCCGAAAAAAATAACGGTCGCAACTAGAAGCAACGGCTTTCGACCCCAAATATCTGACAATTTACCCCAGGCGGGAACGGTGGCCGTATTAGCCAAGATGTAAGAGCTGCCGATCCACGTGTAGGCGGAACCAGACTGAAAATGTGCGGCGATTGACGGCAATGCTGTTGTAATGATAGTGACATCAAGAGCAGCCAGAAATACTGCTGCACATAGGGCAGTAAGAACGGTGAATGTTTTTAAAAATGATCGATTTGAGGTCGGGTTTGGCGACCTCACGCTTGACTCTTGCTGAGAAGGGACTGGTTCCATTTCCATTAAGACTGTTAGAGATGAATCTAGAGATTAGTATGCTCTGGAAAATCTCAAGTTTCGTGGAGAAGAAAGAAACCATGTACAGTATGAGGGACTAAAGTACTGTGAGCAAATAGTGAGATCACATGACCTCAAATGACCTTTGAGGGGATTTTGAGGCAATTAGAACAATTATCGAGTAAGAGACAATACAGAAAAGTAACAGAATACTGTGAAAATAATGAGGAATGTCCCTGTCTCTCCGGATACTCTCGTATATCGTATATCGTTTATCGTTTATCGTTCGGATATCCATGGATAGCAAAAGTCACATGGACCAATCAGACTGGCTTCCCTTCAACCTAAATCTCCACCTTCATCGATCCCGTCCCCTGGATGAACACCACCTTCTACTCCTCTCCCTCAAGAACATTCATATGGCCTATTCCTTATTCCACCTATATTTGGTTCATATTGCCTAATGGCTTCTCGGATGTCTCCTGCTGTCCTACAACAGTAATGAGCTGATCCAATCCCGGGACTACAAACATCACCGGCACAGCCAGATACCTCGGAGCTGGACTCTACTTTATCTTTCACGCCGTTGAATTACTCGGCATTAGCTAAAACCGCCACATTAGATGGTGTCGTGCTTGCCCCGTTGCTCATCACAATACGAGGTCCTTAACTAAAGGTAATGTGAATTCGACTTCGGAGAGTAAGACGATCGAGATCTTGAATTGGACATTTTGTTGAGCCATGGTGAAATGTATGGTGCAGATATAGCTCAATTGAGTAGATGATTAGCATATAAGTACTCTGCCAATTTGATTTACTTTTTATCATACTCCGACCTTTTGCTGCGGCCACTGCAACGCCGATTTCCACTTCTCATTCTGGTCCTTCAGCTCAATTAATAACTCGGCAACTAGTTCCTCCCCACAGCCCTTGGCCCACCAGAAATGGGCCCCTAATTCATTTAATAGAACTGCCCAATTCATAAGGATCAACAACTGGAGTGGCTGACGTGCACGCAGCCCATCCACAAATTCCCTCTTGACATAGGCGATCCAAGCCAAGATAGGTGCAGGATGCGGCGCATGAGTGAATTGGGCAAAGGAGTCCTGTAGGGAGTCGATAGCTTCCTGGTTCATGGTATGTTGTGCCGAGTCTGTATTTTCGATTGGGCTGTTGAGCATCCGCAATTGTGCAATAGCATCGGCCATGTCGGTATTCAGCACAGTATTATTATCCCTCCACTCATACTTGAAGAAGATGCTTGCCTGTCGCCATGGATTGCTAATTTGCGAGATCTTACTGGCCCCTTGCAGCAGTTCAAAAAGTGTCATCATAGTCTCGATCATGCTGAAGGATTCCCCGCGATGCTGAGCGTTCAGCCGAGGGAGTGCTATGCCAATGATAGTAACGATGGCGGATTGAGCAAAGACAGCATCGCAGTTGAGGGGGGTCAAGTGAGCCAGGGCTTCTCTGAAGGGGGCAAATGCAAGTTCACTGCACTCCATTGAAGTGTCTAGATAAGATAGAACTTGTTCTGATTCTGCGGTGGTTGCTGCCATGTGAAGCGCGGCGAGAGAAAAGATGCCATGCAGCAGAAATTCATGTTCGAAAGCAAGCTTGGGAATGAGGAACTGCCAATCCTCCATATCCGATTGGTCACCACAGATGCTTTTATAAGTTTCAGTCGAGAATTTGTGCATTAGCAGCAGATGTCGGACATTATATTTTGGTGATCCAAAAACTGGCTTGGCAGGTGGTTTGGGCTCTGGTTTTGGAGACGCCTTAGTTGTTGAATGACTTTGAGGATAGGGTGTACTATAGATGCAGGGCAGTTCCCGAGTAGTACATACACCGCATAAGGGCCGTGTCTCGTCACACTAGTGTTGTCAGCACTGGTGGGTGGCACCGGACAGATATGGACCCACCTTGACACGCCGCTCCTTGCATTGATTACACCCATTTCTGGACTTCTTGTGAAATCGACGAGGCATGATTCAATCTCATAGATTTGGAAGGTGTTGGGACAATAGGGGAGTTGTTAGAGAGGGAGCGGGGGAACGAGGAACGGTGAACGGCAAACGATAAACGATAAACGAAATACGAGGAACGAGGAACAGACAGGCTAAAATCAACAAAACATTCGTTACATAACTATATTAGCCTTGGAGGTCTCTCAGGAGTGAATATTCTTCTAATTTTTATTTTGGATATTTCCTTCTCTTCGAAATGTCGGTCATTTGCACAGAAATCACCGCTCAATGCCCTGTCGAAGCAACCACATACGGCTACTATCCCAATCTCACCGGGATATTCATCGGGTCTGATATGGGATCTTTTGTCTTGCAAGCAGCTGGCGGAGGCGTTGTCAATGGAGCTGGAACTAACCAGGCCATTCTTGAGATGGGAAATAATATCATTATTGTGGGGATTGCCTTCCAAGTTGCCGCAATGTCTATGTTTGGGTTCCTAGTGTTGAACTTCTTCATTGCATCTAGGAAGCATCTGCGCGAAGATTTCCAGGGAGACGCTGTGACTGAAAAGCCTCAACAAAAAGTCTGGTTTATACTTGCTGCAGAGATTGCCGCCTATATCACCGTTCTCATTCGGTCATTTATCGGCGAGCTATTCCAGTTTGATCTAACACATGGAGCGGTCACTAACTCGATCTAGTCTTCCTGAGATGGCGGGTGGATGGGGGAACGAATTGATGCAGAACGAATGGAGTTTTTGGTTCTTGATGGAATGTATATTGGACACGAAACCCTCTCTTCTATGGACCGCTGACAACCACAGGATGATTGCTCTGGCCTGCCTGGCATTCACAGTAGTCCATCCAGGACTATATCTCCCCACAATGGGGGCAGGACGGAGCCATTGGTAATTCCAATGTGCGCTATAGCATGTTTGCCTAGTACACCCCCTTTTTCCTACAAGTCTGCGAGTTCTGGTTGAATAATTACTGGATATTCTTCCGAATTGTTGATATCTTTGTGTTAAATTACCCCGTTATCATTCACGGCCCCGTTTATAACAACTATTTTGCGCAATAATTAAAATTGCTTAGTAAACGCCGAGAAATACACAGGCAGATCCACCATTTTTCTATGAAAGATTGTTTTAAAAGCATTCCATAATTCAGGGGTTCATTTATGGATCGAGGGGGGGTTGATAAAATACTATCTGCCTTTTTACTCTCTGCTATGAACCTTGTGAAAGGCGGTATTTCCCCGAATTTGATCAGCAAACGAACACCGGAACCGAGACGCCTCCTGTGATATCAGGCCAGATGTGCTCTTTGAAATCAAAGGCTCGGGCATCTGGCAAGATCTCGCGGAGTCGATAGCGCAGAGGGCTCAAAGGATTCATGCTAACAGCAGCAATAATAGCCAACTGGTCCTGCACTGCCTTCGTGACCGTCAAATGAGCCTCTCCTACTAGGAATTTGACCCCCACCAGCAGTCCAGACATGGACCCTTGTTCTGCAGTTGTCAGAATACGCGTCAAGAGAGTAGTTTGTAGTGGCTTAGGATGCCCTTCCTTGCATGGTGCAGAGCACGACCGCATGATTCCCTTCTCGGGGAACTCCAGGCACCTTTGACTGAAAACCGCAAAGCTTGACGTGTCCCGCGTATCCTTGACGACCCGAAACCAGTTATGCGACTCTTTCGGTGTGGATGGCAATACAGGAAAATTGAGAGGGCTATTATTAAAGGGCCAGGATACTTGGAGGTTTCCTTCGCTGTCAACACCCGAGTGCTCAAGTGCGAGAATCGAGTTTATGATCACGCGACGGGCTTCGAGCCCAGTGAGAGGCTTATTTTGCCCGGGCATATGGTCAAGGGAATCTATCTCGTCCAGTGACTGCCAACGACTCCAGCATGAACTGATACAATTCTTGTCCCCGACAATATGGGCGCAATACATTGTGTGATCTGTGGAGTTGGTTGTTGTTTGAGAGAAGCGGAGAGCATCCCAGAGCGTTACTCGCTGGGCGTTTCCGGTGCATGCACTTACTTCCAATCCAACACGGAGATTGAGAAGTGGCACGAGCCTTGTGTCAGGCTTTGTGGAGTCCGCGATGAGCATTGCTTTGAGTGTGCGCTTTGGTATCCGCTTATACTTCTTCATGAGTCCGGCTGTGACGTATTGTCCGCCGACGAGCTGAACATCGTACCCATCGCTCACGTATCTTGATTTGCTTGTGCCGGGATACTGGAGTCGAGAGGCGATCTGTTGCCCAATAAGTGAGATTGACGACTTGCACTTTTCATTGACAACCAGTCCAGCCCCAGCGTCAGTGCTTCTGCTTGTGCTTGTGCCGATTAATATCCTCGATGTGCTGGAAACGAGAATTGCCCTATTTGGTCTCTCACCAAGGAGATATTCTGGGATTTCTTCCATCCAGTGGCATTCAGTCTCGTCACAAAATGAGCCTGAGCATAAGGAAGATTGTGCCTCTCGTAAGAGTGGGATGATGAACCCTCGTTCGGTCTGAATGACTGGAGCGGCATTTGCAGTACCTCGAGCCAGCGAGACTGGTCCCCATAGTTCTTGAAGATCCTGGACAGTAAGAGATATTTTCAATGCCTCAGATGAAACAGGGGCTTTCCCTAGGATCCATGCAGGACCACCGATAAAGTCGTCCAGGCAAGCCAGCTTTCGTGGCTTAAAGACATATCCTTCAAAGCCGATGGGGATCTCTTCCATCTCTTGATCCCATAAATTAATATCAAATCGACACACATGTGACCCAGAGAATGAAACAATTCCAATTGATAGAATTGTACACAGGAATCTAAGCATTTGCAGCGAATCAAAATCGGAGAGGTCCTTCTTTTCAACATTGAGCAAAGTTTGCATCCAGTTCTCTATCAGGCCATTCGATGCGTCCTCGTCGGCCGAGAGCAGAATTGTCTGGACCAAAGCGCCAATATCACTCAGTGTTATATGGACGGCACTGGCAACGCCATCCCGGTCTTGGTCTTCTATCAGAATGCTGATGGATGTTCCACAAAATCCTTCAGACTGTAGACATCTAAGCGCGGCTTGCCAATTCTCAAGACACTCAATACAGTCGCCCAGCGATTCAAGTTTGATGTGTGGGCCATTTTTCCTATCGATCATCTGTGCGATTCGAACTTCTAGCTCGTCCAGTTCACTCAAGTAACGAGCCGCGTCCAAGATGTGGTCCATATGCTTTGTCTCAGGTAGACCTGCATCTATTGAGTCTTCCTCGGACTCGGGAGTGGTGATATTTGTTGCAATTGAGTGATAATTTGAGGAGCCAGAGCCCAAGGAAAGCGACAATTGTTTTTGTTGGTGCACCATGGAGTCCTGTGGTTTTGTCTCACTGAGATCGAAAGATTGATCCAGCGCCGTATTGACACCATGTAGCAATATAGCATTTGCTGTGTCCATCCTGGAATGTTTCTCTTCGGGTAAAGTATGTTTATTTTCATCTTCGCGTTTGCGCTTCTGTCCATATTGCACTGCGGAGTGAGTTGTGGATACGCTTTCATCTTCATCTGAAGAATGGTAGTGCTTTTTCGCATGATCCCAAAGATCGACCCATTTGTGAATTGTCTGGGAGCATATATTGCAAAAGGGTGGGCATGCAGATTCGACTCTGTAATCCACGAACTGATCCGGGGTGGGACTTTGCTGATGTACATTGCGCAGATGATTTTTCATTTGAGCTCGACCTGGTGTAGTCACAGTGCAATTGGGCTCAGGGCAACGAGATTCCCACCTTTGAACACCATGCTCTAATCTAAGATGTCGTTCGAAGGCAAGGTATCTCTTGAGCTTCACATTTCTCCCACATATAGGACAGCAAAATCCTCCTAAGGCATCAGATGTAGAGCGACTCGATGCCATGGGCGTGGGTGGTAATTCATGGATCGGAGGGAATGGCTCCTGGAGTCGTATATCCACCTTTTGCAGAACATCTTCAAGCTGGGACTTGACCTTCAATAGTTGAGCATGGTTCAAGGAAGAGACCTGGTTTGAAGCTGCGTCTGCGAGTTGCTGTATCTCAGGTAAATCATCGACAATCCAACCAGAGCCGAAATGCGGTTCGAAGGAATCGTGCGATATATGGTACGTACTAATACCAGTGAGATCATCTGGAATTACACCTGGTGTCGAATCTACCAGATCCAATGCTGAGTCTACTGACCAACTCGGGGGTTGATCAGTGGCTGTCTGCGCAGACCATGGATCTAAAGTGTCGAATGCAGGATACTCGTGTGGAAAGATTTCATTATTAGAAGTCATCTTCGGATGAGAAAATGTAAAGAAGAGAATGTGAATTATTTCGAGAAGATGGCGACATGCTTATAATAAAATAATTCAAATCCGATCCCTGTTATGCACAGCCCTCAGCCTCCGAGCAGGGCGTCGTGGTGGCATAGGATTGGTGCGTCATTGTGGCTTGGCTGTTGGTGCGCTTCGGCCTGGTCACCTTGAAATGTAGTTTTCCTACTAGGCACTCATCCCGCAGTCAATATGTAATATTTCTGCTGAAGCTTTCCATAATAATTTAAGACGGTGAGCCTTTTACAGTGTAGCTGGAATCGAGTGCCTGGATCGATGGACGCCATTGGACCGGCCCACAACGAGTAAGCTGATCCACTAGTCTCCATATTGGAAGTAAGTTACATCGCACCAGCCAGTAAACGTAATTTGAACGACATATCTAGCGCCCATCCATGATGGAAACCTTTTCAGTCCACTCTTTCGCCGAAACAACATCGGTCTTGCGCGCAAAGACCTTCTCCATCAACACACGGTGCAGCTCCTCATCACGATCCATGCAGCAATCCTCCAAGACCGTAATGCGGTAGTCCAGATCCATTGCCTGGCGAACAGTCGATAGCACAGCTCCACTGGTGATCAAGCCTGCGACAACGATAGACTGGGCATTTGCGCAGCGCAAAAGCATATCGAGTTCCGTAGCGAAGAAAGCCGAGACACGACGCTTTGTGAGGACCACTTCTCCAGATGCAGGTGCGATAGATGGGTGGACTTGTACAGACGAGTGGCCTTCAAGATATTCACCACGTGCGACAACAGAGGGGATAGATGAGTTGTTTGCGTTGTTTTCTGGGTAGCCTGGACGGAAGGCAGTGACAACGTGGATGATTTTCACGTTTGCCTTGCGTGCGGAAGTAACGATTGATGCCAGGCGTTCAAGGTAGGGCTCAGTGTTCTCGAGGCGGTCGATCACCCCGTTTTGGACGTCGAGGATGAGGAGAACGGTCACCATATTTGCTGTAGTTGAGGATATATGGTGGAAGTGAAGATGTTGGAGAAGTAAAGATTGAACAAGGGTGAGCTTGGGTTAAAGAGAAAGTTGATATCAAACAGAGTAGTTGCGGTTCCGGTATTCGTGATCCCGGTACCGGCATGGACATTTGAAATGAGGAAACTCAAACTATTTTATACAAAAGAGAAAAAGTAAGCAAAATTGGTCACAGTGTTTGAAACACATGGTCGAAAAAAAAAAAAGAAAAAAAAAAAAAAGAGGTTTAAGTTGCCACATAGGAAACGGAAGCATCTCAGTCGAGTCTCCGTCTCTTGACCGCAAACTGTTCCAAAGCTCAACCCTTTCTTTCAGACGAGCATTCTCTTTCTCTAGATCCCCACGATCGAGAATTAAATCATCGCGATACCTCTTCTGTGTTTTAGGTGATCCATCTATGCATCTATTCAAGATATCCCGGTGTTTCTTAGACGACATCACTGAGTCAGATGGTCCTTTCTCTGCGGTCTTGGCCCGAGCAGTCTTCGGAAGTCTAGGTGTCCTGCATGGCGTGATGGGATGATGGTTTGTGACCGTCTCATTTCCACTATCAAATTCATCGTCATCTGATTCGGGGCTATCGTCACGCTCTTCGCTCTCTTGGCTCTTATGTGATGACCGCAGCGAAGGAGATGAATATTCGGGGCTGGAGTGTCGGCTCGATGCCTCCGTGGACGGGATGATGGGCAAAGGCACTTGTTCGAGGTGGGGACCACGTGCTGAACATTCTTTGGGCGTTGCTGTCCGAGTCGAAGCGGCCATCGAAAACGGGGCTTCTATCCTCTGGGGCAGCTGTAGCTGGGTTCCCTTGGAGGCAGTTGCGGAGGCGATTTTCATCAAGCGGTACAAGGCAGCTTTGGCGCCAAACATCTCCAGCCTCTGTTGCTCGTATAGATGAAGCTACCTCTCCATGAATCCAGTCTGCAAACTCACCCACCTCCAGGATGGTGGCCTTTTCATTGTTATCTCGGAATCTCTTTCTCATATAGTCCGTATAGCTCTTTTGCATAGGCCCAAAAGCGATGTTTTCAGCCGGGATGAAAAACGTTTGATCATTGTTCGGAAAAGACAGGCGATATTGTTCTCCTGACAGAAATTTTTCAAAGTAGGGCAAAACTATACGAAAGCGATGGGAAATTATCAGAATTCTCTATGGATGATGCCGACCTCGAGGTCGAGTCTGGCTCAAAAACGGTCTTTAGCCAGTCAAGTGCATGATTTGGTTCAGCCCAGCCTGATTGGTTGAAGGAAACCTTTGATCTATAACTTGAGATGCCTTTCTTTGAAGCTGCAATCCAATAATTTCAATATCCCGAGGAATGATGATGTCGGGCCCGAGTTCCTATAGCGATCGCAGCTCACGTGCATCATCCCCGGGATTCAGCCGAGCTCCAGTGTTTGTTAGCAATATGTGTTCCCCGCATATCCATAGCGGAGATGAACGAGTCAGTGTTAAATACCATCATTGATATTAATGTTCTCATGCTCTCTGTCATGCACATAATACTCCACCTGTGTGTGCATCCAAGTCGGTTGCTGGGCCTTGGGACTTGTTCTCGGGGGGAACCCCCGGGGCCTGTGACTTCCTTATATAAGCATCCCATGACGTCAATGCCCAAACTATAAGACGAAGCTCTTCGCGCACCTCTGCGACTTCTTCCTATGGCTGCCTTCAATCACCGCCTGAATTGGCCAATTACCCGTCAATTTCTTACATATGCAACCTTCTTTTAACCTGAACCAAACACCATGGCTGTGGCATCAGTCCCGATAACACACGGCCGTCAGAGTGAGTATCTTCTAGCTCAATGATGATCATATTGATACTGACAAGATCACAGGCATGCTGAGACCGGTCGCAGCACTGAACGGTCGTGTCTTCGACACCGACCCCGTCATCGCGTACATGCTTCTAGGCATGTCTCAGCAACAAAGGTTGGCTTATCTGCCGACATACTGGACCACGCTCATCAGGTCAGCCTTGCTTAATGACGCAGTGATAACCGAAGCCGATAGCTGGAAGTCGGCATCTGTCCTGATTCCACCGGGTGGATACATTGACAATGTCTGGACCCTTCTGTGGGCTGGATTTCTAGGCGTTCTTTGGAAAATGGGACTGGCAGGCATTAAGGTATACGAAACCCCAACATTCTCCCATAGAACACTGCTAATCAATTCCCTAGCGTCTTTGGGAATTCTCCGGTATGATCGACAACGCGAAGAGAAAGGGTCTACGTGGACAGAGCCGATACTACTACGTCTTCAGCCTCGGAACCGAGCACGAACACCGTGGAAAAGGTTGGACATCCTCATTCGCGGTTCCATGATACTTCATCTCTTACTAACACATGTCCAGGCCTCGCCAAAGCCATCATGCAGGATTACCAGCAGACCGCTCAAGCTGCGAACCTCCCGATCTGGCTCGAAGCAACAACTGCAGGCTCCCGTGCTCTCTACTTATCGATTGGATTCGGGGAAATCGAAGAGATTCGGCTCGGGAAAGGCAAGGTGGCTGCTGACACAAGCCTTCAGTCTGGGGGGCCAGGAGTATCTCTTTGGGCGATGGTATGGTGGCCAACCCCAACTCCTGAAGCTACTTCCTAGGCTTAACAGGTATCCTTCTGCTTATCCATACGCTTATCGCTAGCATATGTATGTATCCAAGCGCTGACGCTCACTATCAACAAGCCGATCTATTCATATTTGTGCATTATTCCATTCTGGGCGATTTATTTCATACTCTGCTATTTCAAACCAGCTAACAGTCTACAGGCTAACGAACAGCTCTGCTGACTTGACAGCGGGCAAGTTCAGCAAACATTCTGCAATCTATTCAAATCTTTGGGAATAACTCCAGCCTTAACAGCGTCTGCAAGATGTCAGCTACCGTCCTCCAATTGTCCAGGAATTAAAAGGGACTCACCCTGGTAAGACCACCGGTAGTCATTCAGCTGAGATTTCCAGGTCCAAAAGACCCATCCCTGCTGCTTCTCATAAGTATGAACCTGCGCCGCAAACCACTTTCCATAAAAGTCGGTATTCGTACTGGGATCCCAATCCGGCGTCTTTGCGACATCGTCCGCCACAGCAAGACTCCATTCGCCAATGATGTTAGGGGAGTTACTATCACGCTTATCGGCGCAGGATGTGCTAATGTAGTTATCATGCGAGGGATCAACACTAGTATCCCATTTGAGATAGCGGTGATCATCATAAGCCATGTAAGTCAAGTCGTCGAGATATTCGTTCGGATCACCCGAGCCCCAGGATTTATCCATTGTCTGGATATGGAGGCGATCATTCGCATCGATGGAAAGCTTCTTCTCAGCGGCACGGATGCGCTGCATATTCACCCATTAGTCCATAACCACTCAGCAAGACCCAAAAGATCTTCTCACCTCAACAGCCTTTGGATAATAATTCGACCGCATAGACGAAGCCTTGGCCTCATTCCGAACAGGCTCATTAACAATCTCCAACATCCCCACATTCCTCATCTCATCCGTCTGATAAACAAGCTCAACCATCCACTCGAGCCACTTGAGCGCCCGCTCATAATTCTTATCCGTATAGAATCCAGCCTGAGCAGCATATTGACCGGTAAACGAATTATTCGCCGTCTGCGCACCAGGCAGACCATGAAAATCCATAATAATATACAAACCCTTGCCACTCGCCCACCCACACAATTTCTTCACATACTCAAGCCCACCCTGCGGAAAGTGCTCGCTGTCAACATCAACTAGGTCCTCTCGCAACCAATACCCTACCGGTACGCGGAGAGTGTTCAATCCATAGCTCACGATCTCGTCGAGATCATCCTGCGTAGTCCACGACGCCCAGTGTTTGGCGAAAGCGGTGTTCGCGGCGTCTTGACCCATTGACGAAACACAGTCGAATTCCGATTTCTGCCCCTTGCAGCCCATCTCATTCCATGTGTTATGGGCAATCCAGGGCTCGAAAATGAATTGCGAGCCGAGGTTTACGCCGCGGATTTTTCCGTTGGAGGACTTGAAGAGGTTTGTGCCGTTTTTTGAGGTGATTGACTTGTTTTCTTCTGGAAGCCAAGCATTTGTTAGGGCGAATAGGGTGGTGAACGTGACGAATTTGCATAGTATCCCCATGATAGCGACTTAGAAAGGGATGGTCGATGTAGGTGTGATTGAGTTAGGTTGGGGAGAGGTGAAGGCTTGTGAGAAAAAGATGGATTTCATTCAACATAAATAAGTAATATCTGTTATATCCCCTAATCCACTTAATCCAATTCAATTACATACCTAGGGGAATTTTATGCATGATAGTCCCGATAGATGAAACTATCGAATTTCCTGTTTGGGAAACCAGGCTGACGTTAGATGGACGCTGTTGGGATGATTGGCTACAAACACTGTGGCTATTGCATTGCTTCTTAAATATCTGAGATGAAAGATATTATCCGCTCCGAAAAGTCATCAATCTGAATATTAGCGCCTGTTGCTATTTGACACCACTAACTACACGTGGAAATATTTAGGGTATATCCAGGGTCCCTGTTAATTAATTAATTAATCCCTCGCTCTAGAGTTTCCCTGCGCATGATCTTGTCAGGTTGATGATCATCTCAGGATTTGATCGATTTGGCAAATGCAGGCTTCTAAGATGGGGGGGCCTGATCGGCAGGCACTAATTATAGATCGCCTTGGGGGGCTACCGGCGCATGGACTATGCTAAAGAGTATCCATATAGGAAACACTTGGTGGATTTCTTCTGCAATTAACCCTATTTGTACATACAAGGATACTCTGTACAGTTTGGACTTCTTGTCGCCTTCCATATACATCTAAAGAAACATGTAAAAAGAACATCCAAACACACATCGCAGTGTTCTTACATATAACATTCTTGATAATTGTCTTAGACCAAATAAATCAGACCACTGCAGTCCTACATCATTAAGAAAATAGGCCGTATATTGTTCTACTGATTCGAAAAATCGCTTACATGAAGGCTCTACTAGCTACCATGGAGCAAATATAAGACAACGTTAATTATCATTAGAGAACATTAAAGATCATAATTGCGTCCGTTGCAATCAATATAAGAAAATCATAAAACATAGACTCCTCACAGCGCCTTGAGCAATTCCTGAACCAAAGGCAAGAAGCTTGTAACATCATCGATCAGGAGGGTTGTCTCATTGACGAACTTAGGAGTGAGGAGATCATGAGCGTTCTCCAAGAGCGCGCCAACATCCGAAATAACAGAAGGCTTGAGCAACTTCTTCACCTCGGGCAACAAGTCGGGCACGTATCCAAGAATCTCCTTGAGCGTGGTGACTACCTTGGGGGTGAGGAGGCCATCGGCGTTCTCGACGAGGTCGGTGGTGTCCTCGACGAAGGCGGGCGTGAGCAAAGTGGTAGCGTTGGTTACGATGTATCCCAGGTCGGTGATGATTGTTGTGTTCAGCAGAGACTTTCTGAGGTCGGGGAGCAGGGGGACGACGTCGCCGAGGAGATCCTTCAGTCCAGTGACGATGGTTGGGGTCAGGAGGTCGTCGGCGCTGTCGACCAGACCAATGGTCTCGTTGACGAACTTGGGGGTCAACAAGGTGTTGGCGTTGGACAAGAGAGAACCAATGGCGGTAATGGTACTCTTGTTCAGAAGAGACTTGAGCTCTGGCAGCAGAGGAATGACGTCCTTCAAAATCGACTTCAGTCCATTGGCCACCTCTGGAGTGAGAAGGTCGCCGGCCTCGCCGACCAGGCTCTTGGTGTCCTTGACGAAGTCTGATGTGAGCAGGTCTCCGGCGTTGTTCAGGAGGGTCTCTATCGAATTGATCATGTCCTTGGTCAACAGCGACTTTAACTCGGGGATCAGGGGAGTGAGATCGCTGAGGAGCGACTTCAGAGCCTTGACCAGGTCGGGAGTCAGAAGGGCGACAGCCTCGGTGACCAAGGTGTTGGTATCCTTGACGAAAGAGTCCGTGAGCAGCTTGTTAGCGTTGCTAAGCACGTTCTCGATTGCCTTAATAGTGGCTGGCTTGAGCAGGCCCTTCAGCTCAGGAATGATAGGAGCGAGCTGAACGAGGAGAGACTTCAGGCTGTCAATGGTATCCGAACTCAAGAGCTCACTAGCTTCGTCGATCAGGCTAGTGGTCTGGTTGACAAAGCTGGTAGTCAGCAGACTATTGGCATTGCCAATGAGAGTCTCGATCTCCTTAACATTGCCCGCGGTGAGAAGACCGCTAGCCTGGTTGATGAGGGGACCAGCCTGCTTGATGAGGGTTCCAGTAGTCGAAATAAAGCTTGGCGTAAGCAGCTTGTTGGCATTGCCCAAGAGCGATTCAATCTCCTTGACATTTTCCTCGGTGAGGAGACCGCTGGCCTGGCTAATAAGGGGACCAGCCTGCTTGATAAGCTTGCCGGTAGTCGAGATGAACGTGGGCGTAAGCAGCGTGTTTGCATTGTTCAGGAGTGATTCAATCTCCTTAACATTGCCCGCGGTGAGAAGACCGCTAGCCTGGTTGATAAGAGGACCGGCCTGTTGGATGAGCTTGCCGGTAATCGAGATAAAGCTGGGCGTGAGCAGCTTGTTGGCATTAGCCAAGAGTGACTCGATTGCCTTGACATTGCCCTCCGTGAGCAAGCCACTGACGTCGTCGATAAGAGGGCTGGCCTTGCCGATGAGGTTGCCGGTCTCCTTGATAAATGTGGCTGTGAGCAGCGTGTTGGCGTTTGTCAAGAGTGACTCAATTGCCTGAACATTCTTCTCGGTAAGTAGACCGCTCGCATCCTCAATAAGAGGGCCAGCTTTGTCGATAAGAGGGCTAGCCTTATCAATGATGTTGTTGGTCTTCTTGACGAAACCGGCGGTGAGGAGGTTATTGGCGTTGTCGATGAGGCTGTCCACCTTGTCGATAAATTGGCTAGACAACAGCTTGTTGGCCACTTGGAGGAGGGTGCCAATCTCCTTGGTGTTCTCCTCAGTCAAGAGGCTGTTGGCATTGTCAATGAGACTGCCAGTCTTCTTGATGAAGCTTGAAGTCAGGAGGTCGTTGGCATTGCCCACCAAGGTTCGGATCTGGTTGTCGACCGGGGGTGCTAGACCGGTAGAGAGATATTCAAAGGTGTCGGCGAAGTTACCCAAGAAGCTGGGGCTCAGCAGACTTTCAAGGCCACTGAGAAGGTCCCCAATGCCGCCACTGCCACTACCACCGAGCAAACCCGATAATGCCGATTTCACGTCTGCCGCGATATCAGGACTGCTATCGGAGCTGCTACTAGAGCTGGTGGACTTGGCGCTCGAGGTGCCTGCAGCAGAGGCAGCGGAGGAAGTAGTCTCGGCAACGGAGGTAGTCTCGGCAGCCGAGTTATCAGCAGTTTTAGTGGGGGCGGTTGCAGCGGCTGACTCAGTTGATTCTTTCGTAGTAGCACCAAGAGCAGTCTTTATGCCGCCGACCGCTGATTCCACGGGGTTAGCCGTAGTCGGGTCAGCTGTAGTCGGGTCAGCAGTCTCTGCAGCCGCAGTAGTCTCTTCATCATTCGCAGCCGCAGCCGCAGCCGCAGCGGTAGTAGGCGTGTTGGCGGCTTCGACTGTGTTGGCGGCAGGAGTACTCTCAGCTGCGGCGGCATTGGCCTGGTTGACATTGTTTGCTTGAGTGGCGGAGGGTACTGGGGTGGTCTCCTCCACAATATTCGCGACAGGGGTGACGGATTCCGAGGCTGAAGCAACGGCCGGAGTTCCTGTCACATTGACTGCGAAGAGGAGCGCGGTGGCGAGCGTTGGCAAAAGACGCATGTTGTCAAATGGGCCAATCTGGCTATCGTTTCTTTATTTGAGCTTTTGTCTAGCCAGTCGAATTGGCGTCGATTCCCCAAACCTGTCGTTCAAAGGTTTGTTGCTGAGCAGGAAGAGCCTTCGGGGGATTCAAAAACTCAACCCCGGACAGAGCCAGCTCTTTATTTCCATTGAGATGGCATTGATCGTCGTGCAGCAGGCAGGGTCCTAGCTAACCGCAATTGCACTAACTTCTTTTTTTTTCCTATTTTTTTGCGTAGTCGGTACTCCGTCCGGAGTACGAGGTAGCTCATCATCCCCGAGGAAATAGGGATCGACACCGAGGTAGACTAGTGATAACCTCCCATGTGATGGACAGATATGAGCAATTCTCATTGCAACTCCACTCGATAAAAGAGTCTAGCAGCTCGCCGTCGGCCGTGCCTGGGGACTAGGTAGGGATCAGCACTACTAGCAGGGGGAGAAGTAATAAATTTCCGCGCCCGAGGTTCATCCAGGCACATGTGGTAGCGTTCCTGGAAGAAGGCTGGGCATATATTAAGGAAAAGCCATAAAGCTTCTGCGTATAAGTGGCGTATTGCGGACGGATGCGGGATTTCTGGGGGAAAGGCCAAGGCAAAAGCGGGGGATTCAGTGTGTTTCCCCACAAGTTAGCCAAGATGAGAGAAGAAGGCCAATGATGAGATGGCTACTCCATACTCCGTAGATGGAGTTGATCCGCAATGAAGGAATAAAAATGGGAATAAAAATTGAGAACAAGGAATTGAAAGGAAAAGATGAGGGGAGATTCGGACTTGATGCTCAAAGAGGAAAAGAACGACACTCATCATCTCCACCAAAAGCTTCGCAATTCCCATACATCAGACTTGAATATCCTATTCTCGAGTCTGTTGTTTTATTTATATTGATATGTTATATTTGGAACTTAACAAGCAGTGGGAGATTGTTCATGAAAATTCTGTAGATCTCACGTACAACATCGTATAAAACAATCGGCAACTCGTACTTTGTTCTTCAGGGCTCTTTGACCGGACGAAAGAAGTTGAGATCGCCGAATGTCTAGACTTGGAAAGCTTGAGCGGTCATCTTTTATTCCCTGTTTACTATTTGCTTCCTTTTGTTTCCCCATTCCAGATGTCTGTTAAACTACTCCGTACCTGGACTTTGGTTATCTTTATGTTATACTGTATACTCCGTACTACCTATATTTCTATATCTTCCTCAATGCCACATTCCTTTAGCATCATTAATCGCGTCTCTGAATCACTCGGACGTGATTCAAATGACCTATATTCCAGAAACCATGTACGAGCCTCTTTCTGATTGGTCATGTTTCCCAGTGGCAGACGTTTCCATTCTAGGTCACCCTCACCGAACCCGAAGCTAGCCCCATAAACTCCCACCACACAGGTAGGTACCCCGAGCCCTCCCAGTCAATCAGAGCTCTTAATTCAAAGTTGGCTGGATCCACGATAATATTGCAGTTGGTCAAGTCCCCGTGGGTAAAAGCCCACGGGTGAGGAGAAAGTATGCGGTCACGGAGCCGCAATCTCACAACTTCCAGTACTTTGTCGCTTAGAGATTTCATCAAAATATCCCAGAGCTCGTCAGCTGTACTCAATGGCCCATGTGTAACCCCAATTTCATCATGAAAGAGATGAGAACACCAAACCGGTTGGCCATGGAGACTTTGCATCTTAGCAGAGTGGAACGAGCGGAGCTGCCCCAGATACTCCGCAGTCTGATGAGCGAGTCTTTCCCGGTCGGGTTGGGGGATTGACAAACAGATCTCCTCTTAACGGTACCCCAGGCACCCGGTTGACGATCTGAAAATACTTCTCACCCTCGGTCCAGTCCTGCACGGTTGTCGGGACGGGAATGGTAGTAATCTCTTTGATGAAGTGGGTGTTGATGACCTCATAGCTAGGGGATCTTTCCCGCCTTCTTTGAGAAGAAAGTTTGAGCCGAGGAACCAGTAGACTCGATCGTGGACGCCGTGGAAGAGGCGCACGCTACTTGCGTGGGCGCAGCCTCTTTGCTGATCTGGGGTCCATTTGCATGCGGGGCAGGAGACTTCCGATGATGACATTGGAGTTATTATTCCGTATTCTTCTTGCAAGCGAGATATTTCATAGATTAAATCGTCTCGGATTGATGATAGATCTCAAGAGTAAGGGAGAATCACAAGATAAACTGCTCGGGTCTTTCTACAATGTACTCTGTAGCGGGCCAGTACATGTAAACAAGGGTATAACTACATGTAGTTAGTTAGTTATGAGCACATACCTCGACGCAAATGGGTGCATTTGCGCAATGACCTATCGTCAAGATTAAAATAAGACATCCCTTTTTGGGGTAAATTGTCAGAGCCTCGGATTTGAATTCTAATCAAAACCTGTTGATCGCATCACTGCCTAGGTGTTGAGCACTTGTCTCTGCTTTGGCCATTTGTTTGATTTGTATGCAGATTTGTTGGAACAATGTGATAATGGTCATGTCATGCTTCAAAATATGACCGTATTCGTGGTGTGCAGGCTAATGCAGGTCAAGTAAGTCAAAATTGGGTCACAGCGTTGGATAAAAGTACTGTGTTAACCACAGTGATATAGGTCACTTTAATTAAAAACAAAGAAGGGTTTGGGTATGCGTTTTCTTGATTATCAAATAACAGAATTCTTTTCAAGCATTAGACCGATTCTGCATACTGGACCAGCCCCGGCTGGGTACTTCGTAAAGCGTTGGGCACTAACTTGCACTTGCTCCCAAGGGTTCCTTTCATGAGCGATTTTATTTCTTATTCAGCCCTTCAAATCTCCTAACATGGGTACATCCGTAATATAAACCAGGAGCATTATCAGTATGTTAGCTCATCTGGGTCTCAAATATCAATATTTGTTCTTATTCGCCCCGAAAAGCCGATGTGTTTATCACCGTTAATTTAGTTGAACTCGTATGCTGCACGTTTAGCTTGCATATATCAACATGCTTACAGAGTGCTGTACCCAATTATATATATAAGATTCGTATCACTAATTCGTTTCTGAGTGTGAAATATTGATTTTTGGGGCCCCCCTAAGCTATGACCTGCAGTTCTTTCAGGGGGGGGTTAGTAAAACAGGAGTTCTAAACAACTACAATATACAATGTATGAGGGTACTAGTTAACTAGTTATATATCTAGTTATATAACTAGATTGCTAGAAATCAAGTACCGAGTCAGTTACCCATATTATCAAGATCTTGGAACGCAATAATAATCATTCACACGGCCGAGATACCCGGGAATCCGAAATATATATATGTCGGCAATCCCGGATGCACCAAACCCCTGGGACTAGAAATGGAGATGCTATATTGAAATGACCCACCAAGAAATCTATAACTATGCACAGAACAGAGTACATATGTATGATGGATGTACGGAGTACGGAGTAACTACATACGATGTACACCGCACATTTGACACTGAATCGCTGATAATAAGAGATAGCCCCTGCTACCCCGTAAAAAAACAACATGCCATGAGCCGAGACACCAGATAATAAACCAGAAGGATCAAAAGGATCCAAATGTCATACGAGGCCGTCAGCCCTGGTAAGCCTAGATCCTCCACATCACCCCATAATCCCCCATTTACCTCGTGGTTTTGGACCAGGCTCTCATTCCGAAACGGTTCTAAGTGGATCAACCAGAAGTACCATCAGACAATATTCTATAGAGCGACAAATCGTAGTGTAGTAAAAACTAATCTACTCCGTACCTCCTCGTATAAACCCAAATAGGGATACATACAATATATGTTATATGTACATAAATAGGGCGTACTCCGTAAACAAAAACATAAAAACAGAAAGAAAAAAAAAAAAGGACTAAACAGCCGGGGATAACTCGGCCGGCCGAAGCTCAGAATCTCAGAATTGCAGCATCTCAGCCAGCCATTTAACTCCACTGATATCCCCTTCTACCCTTCTTTTCCTTCAGAGTCCAAGGAAGAATACTGAGTTATAAGAGGGATCAGATTTGGGCCCTGATTTGAGACACATAAAGTACATACCGTACTTGCTAAATCTGATCGGTCGGCCGAATCGCTTTGAAACGTGAAACTGCCGGCATTCGGACTAGGGGGCCTCTAAGAAGATCTGCCGAATTCTATCGAGTTTCGACTTTTTTACTTTTTTACTTTTGACTTTTGGCTTTCTACTTTCTACCCCTAACAAGAATCAGTGCAAATATCCAGGACCTCCCTTATATACTGGAGGGATTCATATATTGGCAATATCATCCTTCCCCACGGGGTTGAGGGAAAGGGGGGTATGTATATATAATATAGCGGAGAAGATGCTAACCTCATAACGCCTAGGGATGGTATATCCCCGATCTCCCATGTTCCTCAAATGCCAGCACTGGGAAACAAAACAAGAGTAGGTACAAGGTTACACTACGGAGTGGTCCCCACCCATGTTGGGGAACAACATCACGTCCGAAACACGACCAAGGATATTCCGCATGCTCACACCTTCCATCGGCTGCATACCTGCATTGGTGGTAGAGGCCGTGTTGGGGCTAGGTTCAAGAGAGGGAGGGGAAGGCAACACAAGGGGGGAATATGTTGTGCTCGATGGTCCTACCGAACTACCCGTGCGAGCGCTGAAGGCCTCGCGGATCTCACGGAGAGCACGGAGGGACGAAGACAGATGTTTGGCAGAGTCGGTGCGGTTGTTATGGTCCAGATCACCGTCGGCATAGACATGATCCGCCAGAACCATCTCCAGCCTATCGATCAGCTGCCAGGTCTGGGGACTGTCGTCATTTGCGACAAGCAAAAATGCCGACGCAATGCTTCGCTGCAGGCTGATCCACGACCGTGAGCAGTGGGAATTGATCTCGTGCAACTCGACAAACGCATCGATTGTGTTGATCAAGCTGCCAATACAGTCTTCGCGGATCATTGCGCGACGCGGTGGATCTAGATGGGAATGTGGGTCGAGCGAGACACGACAC